CACATTACAGATTAGATGACAAACTGTACATGTTCTCAAGCTCGGTTCATTTGGCTGATTCTCCTGGCTGATTTTCCTGATGGATGCGAATGTGTGAACTTGAACACAAAACTATAGAATAATTTATTGCTATTCAGAAGTATATATTTCTTAGTCTAAGTAGGGCACATTGTGGTTCAATGGGTTAACCTAAAGACATTGTCAGATTTTTTGGTAAACCATTGAGCTGCAGAGCTTCCCCATTTATGAGTAAAATTGTCTGGCGTTAGACAAGTAAAAAAAATAAGAATGCACCAGAGCGCATTGCAGCTCAATGGGTTAAGATCGAGTTTATAGATCTATGTCTGGCATAATGGAGTGAACAGTTTTGTTCATGATGTATGATTCCAATAAAAACTTGCTTCTGATAAGATAGTAGATTATTACAAATGTTGACAGCTGACAGATATATTCATCAGTGGTATGTCTGTTAATATTACCAGGGACAGATCCAGCATAATCTGGTAGGGGGGGGGGGGTGTGCTCTGCCAGCTCTGGTGCCGAGTTGTGTCAGTCATGTGTGCCAACCCGCCCATCAACTTGCTTCGCTACTGCAAAGTCAATGCAGGGTAATAGTCTCCTAACAATCTCTTAAATATTTGTGATGTTACTCTGAGTGTATATCCACACCGGGTGAGCTTAAAAAATATGCCCGGCCACGGTGGGAATTGAACCTACGACCTTTAGAATACTAGCCCAATGCTCTACCAACTGAGCTATGCGGTCAGGACGTTTCAAGTAAATGATATTTCGGAACAGAATCTAGTTCCTTTGATACCAATGTAATCGAGTAATATGATTTTTTCTGTGTTGGTGTTGTGTACTCAAGTGAATATGATATTTGTGATGTTACTCTGAGTGTATATCCACACCGGGCGAGCTTGAAAAATATGCCCGGCCACAGTGGGAATCGAACCTATGACCTTTGGAATAAGGTCTATAATCAAGCTCGCCCGGTGTGGATATACACTCAGAGTAACATCACAAATATCATATTCATCTGAGTACACAACACCAACACAGAAAAAATCTCTTAAATGTATTTGTACTTTAAGAATGTGTTAGGTTGTCTTAAGTCTGCTGGAAGACAGTTTGTTACACATGAGAAATACAAGCTCTGAAAAGTGCTAGAGAAAGTCCTGTTTTCTGTGGGTGGAAGGATAAAATGTTGGTACCAGATGATCTGGTCATTCTTGTGGGAATTATGGGTTTAAGGACAACATCTTCAGATATGTCCACCATACTATTAACTGAAATGTCTTTGGGCTATCCTTCAACCAACTTGGCTACCAATATGTATAGATCTCATATTAAATCTGTAATGCAATAATATACATTTATCTTTGTCCTGAAGTGTTGCACACAAATACGCCATGTTTTATGAATGTCAAACAAGCCATGAACCCAACTGACTCAATATTGTAAAAATTAATTTTGGGTGCCATTCAGCCCAATGAAATAATCTCTTCTTTCCATGAAATTAGTCCATTCCACACATACTTGTGATTGCCTCATTGGGTTCCATCAGCTATATACAAGACACAAATAGATAAATTTCAAATACAATATTAAAAACATCGACAATAGCGTTTAGTTGCCTGCTGCAATTTTAAATACAAGAATAGAGTTTCCTTAATAAAGCTTCAGAACTCAGGCATTGTCTTCAGTGCCATCAGTGATCAGTGATATTTAAATATGTCATTGCAAATTGCAGAGAAATTAACTTACAAAGACTTTTCTCATGACTAAACACTAAGCAGTTAGATCTAGTGTAATGGTCCAAACATTAAATGAACATTCCCATGCATAAAATTGTCAAAGACGGTTATAAAACTTACTTGATTCAAAAACGCTTGAAATTCATATAATTGAATTGATTATTGTTCAACACTCGCATATAAATGCACAGAATTTCGTCCATTACACCTAATTATCATTTAGAAATGTGTGTTCTTTCATCCCCTATAATTTTTATGGCGATTCAATGAAATTTGAGCGTTTTATTGAAGTTTTCTTGCATCGACCTCCGTGTTTCGCCATACAGTTTACTATTAGCTTGCTGTGGTTTTAGTTGCTAGGAACATGGTGGACCTAACACATGCGCAGTGGATAGGTCCTTGTTCTGTGACAGCATTCTCTTGTACTGCAGTTGTCATAAAACTGTGTATAATTGCACAAATTAGTTTTTCTGGCAACAATATTGAACAAATAAATTATTCGGTATTTAATAGCAACCTCAAAATTGTTTGTGATTAAACCTAACACCTACTTGTGATGTACTTGTGTTATTGCACATGTACCAAATATGCAGTAGTCATGGTTTTGGTTGGAAATACTGTGTATACAAGATAATTAAAAACACTTTGACATTTCAAGCAGAGGCCATCTGAAATGCAGCATTGTTTTTAATTTTTTTCAGGTAGGGTCGGACCAAAACGACTGCAGCTTATTGCTGCCGTAGGCAGCACACTATTCTTGACAACTGATTTTGACGTTATGACTTGTGCCAGTTTCCTTGACCGAGTTATAACGATGCAGCTTGATTCAAAATATAGAAGAAATTTGGATTTCTGTCAGTCGGTAGTTGCTTGTAAGTCCCGTAAAGCTCTCATTCTGTACTTTCCGCCATGATGAAAAATAAAAAAAACGATAATTTCTTCACAAATAGACAATAATTTCGTTTGAAAATTATTTTTTGCAGGTACGTTTTAGCCAATTTTTAGTATGTGTTGACAATGTTTACTTATGAGTAATAAGTTTATATTGACCGTTTAAATATCATGACAGAATGATGCAGGCATGTCCAATGTTGGCAAATGTTGTTATGATTTACGAAGAAAAACATGAAAATGATTGAAGACTTGATATTAAGGCTCTGCTCACAGTCACAATGTATGTAACTATTGACTCAACCACGAAGGAAAACATCGAAATGACATATAGTGTTGTATAGTGTCCTATAGTATAGTCTTGTATAACGTTGTATAGTGTTGTTTAGTCTCTATAGTCTTGTATAATAGTTGTCTATAGTGTAGTATAGTATACAAATATAAATGAATGTTTATGAGTGCAATGGTAAGAATATTTTTATGAGGTGAAAGATGGAATGTTTCTTTCGACGAGGCGGCAGCCAAGTTGAATGGAACATTCCATCTTTCACCGAATGAAAATATTCTTACCATTGCACAAATAGAAACATTCATTATTTGTTTTTTATAATACCAAAATAGACTAATATTAAAAGATTTACTGTAAGCTCCCGCCATTTTGACTAGTCGTATTTGCATTAAATCCCATTTACTGAGTTTCGAATATCGGGTTAAAATAAACTGCGATCACCGTACGAGAAGCATTTTGACAGATGCGATTTATCGAAAACACAAAGAGTGCAATGGAATAAAACGTATAGTACAATTGCACTCGCAAGAGTGCAATGGAACGTATTCCATTGCACTCTTAGGAAATGGAATTTTCTATTCAATATCATGCACGTGACTATAAACAGCCAATTAAATGATCAGAATTCAATAAGGTATTATATAATGTTGTATAGTCTTGCATAATGTCACATAGTCTTGTATGACGTTGTATAGTGCCGTAAAGTGTTTTATAGCCTTATATATTGTTGTATAGTCCTTGTATAACGTTGTATGGTGTCGTATGGTGTTGTATGGTGCCGTATAGCCTTATTAATTATAGTGTTGTATAGTGTTGTATAATGTGGTATAATGTTACATAGTGTCGTTTAGTGTCATATAGCCTTATATAGTGTTGTATAGTCTTGTATAACATTGTATAGTGTTGTATAACTTTATATATTGTTGTATAGTCTTGTATAACGTTGTATAGTGTTGCATAGCCTTATATATGATGTTGTATAGTTTTGTATAACGTTGTATAGTGTTGTATAGTCTTGTATAATTAACATTGTATAGTATCGTATAGCCTTATATAGTGTCATATAGTGCTGCATAATATTGTGTAGTGTTGTATAGTCTGTCATGTACACTCTAAAATAGTGTCGTAATTTTGATAGTCTTTTATAATGTTGTATAGTGTTGTATAGTGTCGTATAACCTTATATATTATTGTATAGTTTTGGAGGAGCACTTTTAAATTCCCAAGAGCAGAAAATCGTGTGCTTTACAAAGATATTTTAATTTCTTAATAAGTCCATGTTTAATATATCCACCCTTGTTAATACTTTACGCATCTTTGGCACTTTGCGTTGGGTTTAGTGCTAGGGCATGACCCATAATTTCTTAATTTTTATTAGCTACTATTGTTTGGAGTGCTCAGAAAATGACCTGTTTCATTACAGAGAACTGTTTTCTTAATTTTAGATAATTAGAATATTGTTGTAACATATATGCACGCAATTCTTACAATAAAATACGATTTTCATTGTTTAATAATTATAATAGTGCTGTGTTTCCATTATAGTGTTATTTAGTTTTGAATTATCCACGGATTATATACAGATTTTGAACAACCTAACCCAAAGTTTTGGCCGCGAGGCAGCAATTCCTTGCGTTAGTAACTTCTAGTTTAAAAATATGATGGTAATTCGCTTAGACTAATGTTTAGACTAAGCCCTTATGATTGACACTTCAAAATGCACCAAATACCCGTTTTAGTCAATATGCTGCATCACACTTCCACAGTATTCTCAATATGTTTGTATGCCTCAATATTGTCATTTGTTTCTTCATCACTCATATCATCATCGTAATCAGATTCTCTCCCAACAACATGAGATTTACCTCTTCAAGTAGGTACTTGGATATCTGAAGGAGGAAGGCCTTTGATTTCTTTCCATGGTATTGAAATGGTATTGTACCCCAACTCTGTATAAACTCGTCCAATATCTTGTATAGAATATCCCCACAATAGTTATTAACTATGGCCAACAAATTATATTTGAATCTAAAGACTAACAGAGAGAGATTTTATTGGGCCAGTACGTGGTGCGAGCTGAAAAAATTTGTTTTAGACGATCTAAAGCTGACAGGTCGTTGGACTTCACCTGGCGGCGAAGTCAAACTATTCACGAGTGATAATTTAAGTATAAAATGGCATGGGAAGTCTACTAAATGGATAACGGTGATTGGAGATCCTAGTGACACATTAGACCTTACTAATGTGTTGACGTCTATATCAGGAAAAGCTGCCGATTGTCAGGATGAAACCCCTGAAAATTGTGAACTAATCGACGCTGATGAAGGCAAGCACAATGGCTGTTCTAGTCCAGGTGAGCAAGCCAACGCTGATAAAGACATCCACATTGGCTGTACTAGTCTGGGAGAACAAGTTGCAGGTATGAGCGAAGCAATTGATTAAACTGCACCCTTGCCTACAAATACGACTAATAGGACCTTTCTACGTAGAAAGAGACATTGTCTAAAGGGATCTAAATGTGATTTGTCCCACTCTGCTGATTCCCACCGACCTCTGCAGGTTGGCCCAAGTGGTTTTACATCCTGTTTTCGAGTTCCAAGTCCATACCCCGGGCCCACTATATTAATTCCCAGCGACCTCTGCAGTCTGACCCGAGAGGTTTTCCATCCCCTTTTCGGGAACCAAGTCCATATCCCGGCCCTTTGCTTCCACCTGCGATATCTCACCCACTTATGAACCATTTGCAGCCTTTCATACAATCCTTACCGACCTTGCAACCCCTAATGGATATGCCCACAAGAACAATCAGATATTGATTAAGGATTATACCCGGAAGACCCAAAATATTAAGAACCTGATCTCAATTCCCCTTGTTACTAATAGGATCCCCCAAAATCCTATGATATCCCGACTATATTGTCCACTGATGTTAGATCATTACCAAAGAAAATTGATGAGCTCCAGCAAATTGCAGAGCTAAACTCTGCAAGTATTATTTGCATTACTGAATCGTGGCAATCACCTGACATTCCTGATCATTGCGTATCTATCCCTGGATTCAACTTATTTCGTAGGGATCGCATAGGATCTTCTGGTGGTGGGGTCTGTGTATATTTGGATCATAAAATACCTTGTAACCGTTTGGATTCATGTGACCAATCTGATGTAGAATCAATTTGGATTTCATTACGACCACATAAACTCCCAAGAGAAATTACATCCATTATTCTAGGAGTAATATATCATTCAACATCCAATAAAGAACCTAAGAATGTTGTCCTTAGAGACCATGTGCAGAATAACCTTGACTCATTACTCTTTAAGGAACCTAACACTCTTGTTTTACTTACAGGTGACTTTAATCCCACGTCTACAGGTTTTAAAATGAAATATATCACACAGGTGAACCATCTTAAACAACTTATATCTTTTAAAACCAGAGATTCTGCCGTATTGGATTGGCTGTTAACAAATAGACCTAAGATGTTTGAAGTATCTAGATTGCCAAAGATTGGTTCGTCTGACCACTATACGATCTTAGCAAAACCAAATATAGCAATATCATCTAAACGGACTATTACCAAAATTAGAATCCGAGACATGCGGAACTCTGCGTGGTGTGCCTTTGGATGATGGATAACAAAAAAAAACTGGTCATCGGTATTAAGTGCGAGTACGAGCAAAGATAAATTTGACCTCTTTATGTCAGAGCTTGACCAAGCAGTTAATACCTTTCTCCCACAGAAAATTATTAAAAAGCATCCGACAGATCGACCGTGGATTACTAATACGATAAAACTGTGGATTTCTGGACGCCAATGTGAGAGAGATTAAAAAACTATCAGGCCAAAATATCCGACAGGAATGGTATCATCAGTTCCTTGATAACAACACGGATATAGAATCCCTAACTAATAAAGTGAACGACTTCTTTGTTAGTCTTACAGATCACTTCGCCCCTCTGAGCCAACCAACTCCACCTATGCAAATCCCGGAAGAATTCTTGGTTACGGAAAGTGAGGTGTTTAAAGCATTAGCATCACTGCAAATTAGTAAGGCGATTGGCCCTGATAATATCCCAAATAGAATCCTGAAAGAGTTTGCTCCTGAACTGGCTCCAGTCATTCGTAATATTTACAACCAGTCAATGAAAGAAGCGAATATCCTATCACCACTTAAGTCATCTATCGTAATTCCAGTTCCGAAGATATCACCTCCTCAAACAATTGAAAATGATCTCCGCCCAATCTCGCTTACTTCTTCAATGGCAAAAGTTATGGAAGGCTTTACTTGCACTAGACTATTAAAGGACTTGGAAGGAAAAATCGACCCTCGCCAATATGCCCACAAAGGGCACTCAACAACAGATGCCCTTCTCTACACGATGCAAACAATTCATGAGGCATTGGACGGGGGCGAAGCTGGTGCTTGTATCTTCTTCGCAGACTTCTCAAAAGGTTTTGACCTAATTGACCACTCTATTTTAATACAAGAACTGTATAATTTAAGCTCCAGGTTCACCCTGCCTTGCTGTCCTGGATCTCAGCCTTTTTATTCAATCGTAGGCAGGCGGTTAGAATTGGTAGTGTCCTTTCTCAATGGCAAACTCTGAAGGGAGGAATACCCCAAGGGACTAAACTCGGAGTGGTACTTTTTATGGTCATGACAAATACCTTACTGGCTAATTGGCATCTCTGTACAAAATTCGTGGATGATACTTCAGCCCTCGAGATTATTCCTAGGAACTCTATCAGCCTCCTTAATTTTGCAGTCTCTGATATACATGAATTTGCTAATGAACATAACATGAAGCTCAATCCTAAGAAGTGTAAGGAAATGCTTATAAACTTCCTACATAACCCCAATTTCTTACTCCGACCAATCCAAATTGGTAACAATATTATTGAGTGTGTGACAACGTATAAATCTTTGGGTGTCATTTTGAGTAGCGACCTAAAATGGAATCCCCATATCGAATACATTGTTAAGAAGGCTAACAAAAAACAATACCCTTTAAGAGTCCTGCGAAGAGCTGGGGTTGACCAAAAGAATTTACTGAAAGTGTACCTGTGCACAGTAAGACCGGTACTTGAGTATGCCATCCCTATTTGGCAAAACATTCCAGATTATCTATCGAAGGAAATTGAGTCGGTCCAAAAACGAGCACTAAAGATAATTTTCTCGGAGAGCGAGTCATATGCGGAGGCCCTGAATTTTGCACAACTACCAACTTTAACCACAAGAAAAGTGCAAATATGTCAGAAATACATGGTCAGAATGAGGCGAGAAAACCATCCTCTATTGCCAATCCCTGGTGTTCCTGACCATGACATTAATTTGAGACAGAACACTGATCGATTTTATCTATTTAATAATGTTATTGATTGCAGAACAATTAAAGCTCAATCCTTTTTTACATTTAAATACTCTTAATATGTTGTTCCTGACCATGACATTAATTTGAGACAGAACACTGATCGATTTTATCTATTTAATAATGTTACTGATTGTAGAACAATTAAAGCTCAATCCTTTTTTACATTTAAATACTCTTAATATGTTAAGATTTTTTTTTAATATATATGAAAATTGTAAATAATTATGCATGCACTATTTACTATTTTGCTAAATGCCTAATGATTATAACTCCTGTAAATAGCCTAGATTCTAAAGCATATCCATGTACTATTTTATAGCATATTCTTATCTATTGTAAAGTACTCGTTAATTCAGTTGTTTCTGTAACTGCAAGAGAGTCCTAATAAACTATTACTATACTAAATGGCCGTATCTCCATTAGTTCTGTCAACATTATCTTTTCGTCTTCCATCTTCAACATGTGTGTAGCAAGACTTGAATGATTCTTTGTAAACCATAAGTTGTGTTGTGTTTCTTTGAATGGCCCTAGTCATTTTGTTACCACTGAAGTCATGCAGGATAAACTTGCACTTCATAGGGTGTTCCATTTTGAGATCATTTGCCACATTATATGCTTTGTCACCTTTAGTATTTATTCATTGTCTGTACATAATTCATGCAGCCCATCTCCAAGAATTACAATTTTTACCATTTTATTAAAATAAAATAAAAATACAAAAGCAAATATTAAAAAAACCCACCCGGATTTGGCAAAGCTTATTCTGGGCGGGGGATTATACACACAACAAAATCATATAAAGAAATATTTTGGCTGTAGAGATATAATGGCCATATGCATGTGTTTGTTTTGCTTTTTTTGAGTTGATAAACATTATGTATTACCATTAACGTGTAATAGAATTATTCCCTAGAAATATTTCAGGCTATTTTCAAATCATAATTTGTTAATTAAATTAATAAACCGTCGAAGCTGTCTGCATAATATAAGCAAGATCAACATAGTCATCACAAGAATTTAAGATTTCTAGAGATTCGCTTACATTTCTTTTTAAATGTTGATTTACTCAAATTACGAATTGATAGAGGTAAACAGTTCCAAATTGTCATGCCGATTGTTGATAGTGATTTTGAAGTCTAGCTCTGGGTTGATACAAATTCTTACGAGCTGCCACTCTTGTGTTATAACTGTGTACATCACACACATTCGCAAATAAGGTAGTATTATGTAAGGGATATTTTCCATTACAATATCATGCATAAAGCATGCAGTATTATAAAAATAAAGAAAACTCGTTGGCAATATTTTGAAATCGTAAAATGAAGGTATTGCATGATCTCGAGATAATTAGCAAAAAGATGTCAATCTACCATACATAACTTTCTCAAAAATTGTATTAAATATTGGCAACAAAGATATTGGCCTGTAATTATCAGGATCAGTTTCATTGCCAGATTTAAATATCAGGACAATTTTGTCAATTTTTAGCTTTGATGGAAATATACCATTCTGTATGGACATGTTAATCATAGTGGCAAGGGAAGAACTTATAATCGATTTTGAAAGCTTTAAGATAAAAATTGGATAAGAATTTATGCACCAGTCAAAGTAAACACCGACCCCCCCTCCCGGATATAGGTGGGGATTGGCTTTGAATACCGTACCAAAACAGACAAATGCCCCACAATATGGTACAACATTTTCCAGCAAAAAATGCCCCACCCCGGGGGAAATTGTAAGTCGTGTGAGCAAATTTATCTCCTGCATAATATCTCCTCGACAATCTCCGGGCCGCCACATAAATCATTCACATTTTAAAATATTAATAGTTTGTTCCGAAACTCAAAAGAACAATAAAAACATATTAATATAAACAAACAAATGTTGAGCTTTCCACAACAATAGATTCCATGGATGGATGGACATATTAACTGGTGTTAACATATACATTGAAAAGAAATTAAATTAATAATATATTTATAAAATTCCTCTCGATTTCACTTCCGTCACCACCTTGTGAGCATGCCATCTTGACCTTTGTCACATGGTATAAAATGGTAGAACCAGCTGGGGATTCCATTGGACAAAACGGTACAAAATGGCCGCAGACAATCCCCTAAGAATCCCCATTATCTTCCCGGCGTAATTCTGCAGAATAACAAAACCAACAAATTCCTGACATAGTTGGGACAGAATTCGATGACAAAAAGCCACTAAATCCCCCACCAAGTCCCCTCTTTGTCCGGGGTGGGGGTCGGAGTTTACTTTGACTGGTACATTAATCCATAAGTCTTATTTCCTGGGATTTGATTTATTTGATTCTCAACCTCAATGGAAGTCACATCATAAAAAAGAAACTTTCCCTAATAGAGTTCTTTAGATAAGATGAAAATGACTTATCTGTTGAACTAAATTTACTTGACAAATTTTGACCAACAGTTGCAAAATGCTTATTTAAAACATTGGTCATCTCAGTGTGTTCAGATGTTGTGGAACTGGAATTGGGACTCTTGATAATAGTAACTGTCTTAGGCCACATAAAAAAAAATAGTTGGTTAGCGTCCTTAGCTTTTGCCAAAAAGTGGGCGGGCGGGCGTTTTTTTTAAAATTTATACTAATTTTTAATGCCTTGGTTTTAGGGTTTGAAACGTTTTTATGGATTTCAAAATATGATTCATACCGTCATTTTCGCAGGCTTTATATTCTAGAACAAGGTTTTTAAAATAAAAGACTGATTTATAAAAGATTCACTGTATATTGGAAGTTAATATCTTGCATATTTAAATTTATTATTAAACACAAAATGGAAGAATATATTTAATAAGCTGAAACGTCAAACTTTATATCTGATATATAAAACGGTTTAATTAATAAACGACAGTAAGACACAACCGCAACTCTATTTTTTCTTCCCGTTTCACAAAAAACTGTTCGATCTGATTAAAAATATCCTTCCTATAAATTTGGCTAAAACCAACGAAACACAACATTTTCCGAGAAATAAAATATTTTGCTTTTTCATATACACGTATACGAGAAAGCCACTTTCGGAAGGGCGCACTACATGCGCATGCATTGTTTTAAACACGGTTGCGCAAGTCTAAATGATTAATTGTGCGAGTGTCAAGAATACAGAGGCAATAGACCTTGCCGATTATTCTCTTTTACCCAATGGCCTCGTTTCCATGCTAACTTATCTTAGCATGTCAGGGGAAGATAAAGATTATATTCCCATGTTTTCCTGGACGAATTTGTTTCTTGCTGTTCTTAGGCTCAATAACAAAGTAATTTTCAACCTTACTAAGCACAAGACATGAGTAAGTATTTCACATGAAAACGAGGGCATTGGGTAAAAGAGAATATTAAATCAGCAAGGTCTATACACGGTTGTAATCATATCAGTGTGTTCAACAGTCACTTTTGGTTTGATTTTTTCCCCCTTCTAGCAATTGCATTTTTCTTCAGCTCAACACAGTCTTGGCACTGGGGATAATAACCTTCCTTCTCTAAAAGGTCGTCTTCAGCACCACAATGTATACAAATTAGTTCAAATCCTGCAGAGTAGTATGTGAATTCAATATCTGAACGACAGGAAAGATTTGCTCGTACATGGACATTCTGGATAACACTTGTAATGTTGTTCTCATCATCTTCCTCGTCCTCATCCTCGACACTTAAGTTACTTCCACAGCTAAACAGGATTGTCTCCAACAATACTTCAAGCTTGTCACGTTTCTTCGACAGCTTTTTCTGTGCATGCATGCAACGCCACTTTCCGCAGTCTTCGCACTGTATAGCAGTTCCTATGTTTTTGGCAGTCTGAGCTGTCGGGTTAAACGGACACTGGTGGCCTTTCTCCAAAGCAGCCTTAGCAGATGCAGGGTTTTCATTACTAGGCGGGTACCACCTGTTTGGCCTAAGACTGCCGGCTATTTTTTTGTGTCTGGTAAATTTTTCTGAGCCACGTATAAAACTTTTAATAAAAAATAATTTAAGTATTGTCAGTCTATCAAGCATATGTATAATTATTTAAAATGACAAGTTAGGTATTAGTGTTTTCGTTTTCCATAGTAAACTTATAAAATAGGTTCATAACTCACGAGTTTATGTCGTATAAATATTTCACATTGTTTTGAAATTTCTCTTGCCATTTTCTCGCAACTCGAATTTGAACGATCAGCGGTTGCCGATCTATCTTATGCAATACTTCGTAAAATATTTGCATTAAGGCCCAACAAACATGGCAGGTGAAAATTGAAAACATGGCGAGTAAAAAGCGTGGCAGAGGAAATTCAACAGGCTTTCATACATCAGCTTTTGATGCATTTTTCACTCACAAGCAGAGAAGAATGGACATATTACCCTATTGTTTTTAATATTAAATAATCGTCACAGGTCAATGTTTTCTTGTCACGGGTCAGTGATAAAATGCATATAATTATAAATTCTGTTTCAACACAGTGTCAGTCTGGCTGTCATGACAAAATAATTTAAAACTATTTTATAATAGTACCATATACCAGTTCACAGTGACACTACAATGTTGTTAAATGAATAAAGATATAATAAAATCTATTTCATATTGTCAAAATTTCTGAAGCAAAATTTCTGAAGTAGTATTTGAGTGTATCTCTGAAGCAAAATTTTTGTAGGTTTGTTTCCTTTGACATAGTTTACCAATGACCATGCCTGACCTTGTTAATATATACAGTAAGACTTTATGTACTAGGCATCAGACTCCCCTATGAAAACATGGGGGTCATTAGCTTGTCTCTCCTTACAGGAACTAAATATAAATAATAAATTTATACAGAGAAACAATGCATATTCATTTGATATATTAGCCTCTGCTCCTTACTAAACTCTACTAATGGGCCCTCCCATGGGGTGAAGTATGACAAGCTCACACCACCCACCCCTCACATATGCCCTTGTTCCCAGAGGGAGGAGGTTCTGATGATAAGTGCATTAAACTTAAAGTTACCAAAATAATCAAGAGAATATGCTTAAAATTCCAAAATCTTAAACAAACACCTACAGTATAATCCATATGAATCATGTCAGTGCCACTCTAATATTTTCATTTATTAAAACTGAATTTGTTTTTTTTTGCCAAAATATTTGATAGCTGCTAATGTATGGATGTGTTTGTATGTTTCAGAACATAAAAGTTGTGATTATTGTTAAAATTATTTTTTTTCTTGCAACAAGAAATCTACCCAACAAGAATTTTTTTCTTGCAACAAGAAATCTACTCTACAAAATTTTCATTTGTTATTAGCATTCTGGTGCACCATTCAACTTTTTGTGCATAAATGATCCCGTAGGCGATTGTAAAAACTCCAACTGCAAATTTAGTTTATAGAGTTGAGATTTTACTAGTTCCCCCCGAAAAAACCCACAAAGTTTGTTTAATCATCTTTGTATGTAGTTTTTGGGGTACCATGTATTTATGTACACATTACAAATAATCAAAAATTATTCAAAATGTCCAAAGAGGTTGAGAAGAGTGCACTTGCATTATCACACTTTTGTTCACAAAATATTATTTACGATTTTTTTAGATGGTGATGTTCAAGTGGACAAAGATAAAAATGAAACTCAAACAGAAACAGAAAGTACATATTTTACTGCACCAGCTGATTCAAACTCAAATAAAGACAAAGAAACCAGACGTTTACCAGTAGCTACAATAGATGAGGCTGGTGCCATAAAATATATCAATGAATCATTCAGCCACAATATAAACAAAGTACACAGTTTCTACTTGTGCAAAAACAAGAAATGTACCAACCTGAATCCAGATGAGGTGAAGCGTATCAGTACAAAAGGAGATCGTTTTCAACATGCTTGGATAACAGATAATAAATTAACTTACTGTGAAAAAACGGGATATAATTGGCTTATTTACGAGGAAGGTGAGGGCATGTTCTGTTTCATTTGCCGAAAGCACAATGCTGAAAATGAAAAAAACAAGTGCAAGAAGTTTAATCTTCAGGCTGGAATCCGCTTTAAACGTAAAGCAGTAGAGAAACATGCCAATAGTCAACAGCATAAAGCTGCAATAATGTGTGAACTGATTAACAGAACCTCTCCATTCCAGGCAGAACTTGACAGGAAAGAACAGAAAAACGATGCTGTGTATTACAATGCTTTTCTGGCAATATATTGGCTAGCAAAAGAAGAGTTACCAAACTTCAAAATTTCAAGCTTTTTGGATGTGCTTGAACAATTAGGATTGACAGATATGAAATATTTTCAGCATTGCTCAGCTGGATCATTCAGAGAAATGTTCTTAGCGCTGGGGTATCAAATTAAATCACAAGTGGCAGAGAAGTGCAGAAAAGCAAATTGGTTTGGATTACTTGTGATGAAGTTTGCGACATTTCTAATCAAGAACAGTTGCTAACTTTCATTAAGTATGTTGACCCACAAGCCAATAAAGCTACAACAGATTTTCTGTCTGCAAATGACCTGTTTCAGAATTCACAGTCAGCAGATGCCAATACCATTTGGACTGTTCTCAATAAACAACTTGAAGATAGCAAATTGGAAAAATCTAAGCTTGCAAGCTTTGCAAGTGATGGAGCATCTGTGATGACAGGAAAGAAGAATGGCGTGATAAGCTTCAGATAACTTCGCTCAGATAACAAGCCTCTTATAAATGTTCACTGCATTGCCCATCGATTAGCTTTGGCTTGGGGCGATGCAAACAATTCTGTTTCATACATACTAACAATGGAGAAAATTCTCATAAACTTTGGTCCCTTTTCAAAAACTTGCCAAAAAAAGCTGCAAAATATGCAAAGGCTGTAATGAATGCAAGTGAACTTGGAGTCACTAATGCTATGACCAGACGTGGAAAGAAGAAACTAAGTAAGCGTTTTCACAAAGCCTGCAGGACCCGTTGGCTGTCCACCGAAAGAGCTATAGAGGGGGTACAGATACAGATACAGATATTTCACAGAACACTCCCTATCAGGGCTTTTCAGTGACTGGTTACATTATGAATAGATAGATAGAACCGGACTGACGTGAAGCAGGGTCTATAACGATTTCGCAGCATTGACACAAACGCTTCGACAGTTAAAGGAGAATGACTCGGCAGCAATTGGTCTTCTGAAACAAGTAGGAAATGTCAAATTCCTAGGTGCTGTATATTTGCTCAACGAAGCAATCCCAATTCTTGCCCATCTCAGCAGAGCCTTTCAAAAAGGAGCTGTTTCGTTGATGAAGGCTTATGTTGCAGCTTTAAGGGATAACATTAACAATAGACTTGATGGAAGCATCCCAGTCTTAACAGCCTTCAGAATCTTCAATCCTTTAGCTGTCCCAAACAGGTCGGAGCCAGTATTTAAAGAGTATGGTATGAAGGATATTGTTATTTTGGCAGATCATTTCTACCAAGAAATGGAGGTCAAAGTCAAAGATGAAAAAAAGAAGAGGAGCTAATATGCGAGTGGAGAAAGTTCAAATATAATCTTCTGTCCATCAAGGATGATATCCCAGCCGAGATACTGACGCCACCAGTGAAGAGGAATCTGATTGCCCAAACACCGACAGAATGGGTGCTTGAATACCTTATGAAAATGCGAGCAACTTTCCAGTATCTTTTCCCTCTCCTGTTGGAAATGGTGGAGTTGTGCTTGTCCATTCCTGTGAGTAGTGCTTGGCCAGAACGAGGAGCTTCTTGTGTCAAGAGAGTGAAGACGCGCTTAAAGAATGACAGGCTGGAATTGCTACTCCATATTTCCATCAACGGTCCAGGAGTAAAAGATTCAACAGCATTAATCGATTCTACTCTGAAGCAGTGGCTCGCAAAACCAAGGCGAAAGATGTCCATTGCAAATAAACGACCATCTAACACAGAAGGGAGGGCACATTGTGTAGATGTGTCCATACAGGTTGGTTCTTCTGACACCTGTCAATCTTCATGATCAGGAAATGGAAGATGAATCGTTATGTGAACAAGAAGAGTTTGAAGACAACGCTGGAATGATGGGGACTGAGGAAGAGGTGGATGCTGCTGCCAACTTATTTAAATTACCAGCAGTAGATCTGGAAGAATACGACACCGACAGTGACGTCGAGGACAGTACTGATAGTGATTACGATAGTTCAGATTCAGATTAACTTGTTATTCAGATTAATTCAAATTTTATTTCAGAAAAGAATTATAAACATTGTCAAAAGTTAAATTTACATTAAACACTTTTCATCAAATTGGTTTTTTTTTCTATCATAAGATGAAATCTACAATGTTGCATCTTTATCCATTTTATTTGCAAGCAGCGTTTCTACCGAAAATAGCCTTTCGCACCCTCAGAAAATCTCTACTTTTGTTCTTCATGTAGAAACCTGCTAATTTCTAAACAAGAAACTGTAACTTTTTAGACAAAAAAGTTTGTTTTCTGACCATTGCAATTCTACGAGAATTTTCGCCAGAACGCAGGAAATGGCATTTCAGAGACTTTAGATTTCAAAATTTTCCGGGGGCATGCCCCCGGACCTCCCTAGAAATCTTGCACCTTCGGTGCTCGGACGCCTATCGTTTACAATTAGCCGGTTGTACAGAAAATTAATGAAAACCCTGCAGATGGCAGGTATTCCTCTGTAGTTTCCACCTATATAAAACAACAAATTGAAAATAATCAGAGAAACTGCATATACCATACTGATGCTTAGTTCAATCAATTGAAATATGCATATGTACCTTCCCATACAGTTCGTCAAACTGTTTGTATTTCTCTCCTGCTGGCATAGGATCTGGCAGATGGTGGACATCTTTGAGAAGATTTCCTCTGGTAGACGAGGAGCTTTACATACATTACATGTAGACTTGCCGCACTTCAGAATACTGAACATGTACTGTCGAACTTTGCAATGGCTTTCCAAGAACAATTTCAGCTCTTCCTTCGTCTTGATATCCTTTTTGGTGCGTGTTTCCTTCGTCAAGGAGTTGTCTATCTGTAGAGAAAAATAATTTTGCTGAACGATGTTTTTATAGCATCAAAGTTAATGATTTTGTTATATTATTTAGAACACTCACCTTCAATACATTTTCCCATAAGGAATCAATTTCTGCCTCTGAAGCAGGATCATGGGTCTCGAAGTGATGATCCTTCAACTTTAGCCTCTGTATCATGGAAGACATTAGACCCTTTGTAGAATTTATAGAACCAATAACCTCTTCTTGGATCTCTGGAATTTTGGACGCAAGGCCACGGATAGACTTCAAGTTGTTGCAACGTTTGAGCTCATCCTCGTGTGCAACAACTTCACGCATGATGCCAACTCCCTGCAAAGCGAGGTTAATAATGCTCATGATCCTCTCGACCGGATTTTTCCAACTATGTTGCGGTGGTGTTTTTTTTTTTTTTTGTTTTTTTTTATAAACTTTACAATCAATAAAACGATTGAAGGTACAGACAACAGGACTGAGGAGTCCCAAATCAAGTCCTACCTACACATTACACTGACATTGTAAAACAATAGAGACAGGTTACAACTTTAACAAAGCTACAATACAAAATTACAACACACGATCAATGCGTTCCAACCCATCTTTACACTTTCCAAAGTTAATATGGTTTGGAAAATGATCAAGTTAGAAAAAAAAAATTATACATATAGATGAGTCAACATTGTGCAGCACAGACATAGTCACAGAATACAGTAAACATCCTAAACATGCATGTGCTCCAAGCTGTCCCTGCTTTTTCCAAAGATAGTATTTCGAGAACATAGACTGCCCGGGTGTTTTTTATCTGGGCGTTTAATTTAATTTATTCAACAGACTGAAACAAAGACATTTTGGAAATGCAAAGACAGCTTGGAGCGCTCTCAACTATCATGAACAACAAGTAATAGAACAAGAGCGACATTTAGAACAAATGGTTTTCCATGTCCTCGGACGATCAACGTCAAAGAATGTTTCAAGTTTGACCCGGTAATAGTTCTTCAGTTTATATTTGAGTGTGGCAGTAGAGGTGGAGGATTTCAGATCTTCAGGAAGGTTGTTCCACAGAGGCACAATTCTGTTGAAGAAGGAACTTCTGAAATAGGCAGTTCTGCAAAGGTTGGGTCTGTAGCAATTGGTTGAACTGAAGCGGGTCAGATGATGGGTAGGGTAGTCGATATAATCTTCGGGGTTTAGGTCGTAGAGTCCAGATTTGATCTTGTAGAAACAAATAATATCTTTTATCTCATACCAGTACGAAATAGGGAGAAGGTTAAGAAATTTCAGTCGGTCAGTGTAGGAAGAGTGGTAATCTTGAAGTATGTATTTGGACGCTCGTCGTTGAACACTTTCGATACGGAGAAGGTCCTTTGATGTTGATTGAGGCGCCCAAAGTTCACTTCCATAACACAGATGAGCTCTCACGAGTGCCAGATAGAGTGAGCGTCGACATTTCGTATCAGTCAGGTGGATACAGTTACGTCGGAGAAAACCAAGCATCTGATTTGCCTTTGACACGATACTGGTTATCTGAGGTGACCATTTTAAGTTGTTACTAATTATTATTCCGAGGTTCTTTTGGGAGGGTTTAAGGGTTATCGGTTCTTGGTTTAAACTGTATTCGGGTGACTCAATTAAACGTTTGCGGGAGAATCTGATTCCAATGCATTTTTTGAGATTAAACTTCAATTCTGAGGTAGAGGACCAATTGCAAAGGGATTGCAGATCGGACTGAAGGAGTTGAGTGTCATGTGACGTTTCTATGACTCGATAACATTTGCTGTCGTCGGCAAACATGGGTACTTTGCTGTATTTGGCAGCGTCAGGGAGGTCGTTAACATAGACCAGGAAGAGTAGGGGGCCGACAATACTTCCTTGTGGAACTCCGGAGGTCACATCAAGATAGCTCGACGAAACACCATCTACTACAACACGTTGTTTTCGTCCCATTAAATAGTCGCTATACCAGTGCAAAAGCCGTCCTGTTATTCCAAATTGGTGGAGTTTCACAATTAGTTTATCGTGGGGAACAGAGTCAAACGCTTTTGAAAAGTCCAAATATATCCAAATATATGTTGTGTTTTTATGTTTGTTTTTTAAACTTCATCTGTTAAGAAAGGCGAGGGGTTGCTGCATGCATGTATTTTCTAGCAGGCGAATAACTGTAACAACTCTGTGACAATCATTATTCGACCATGAAAGCATGGTTAGCCAGCGAGTACATTAATTTTCTATACTATACACGACTGAAATTGATATTTAAACCATCAGCTACATTATATTTCTATTTACACTATCTTACCTTTTGAGCCAAGAATACCGAGAGGGTTTGGAGCATCTTTAAGAAGGGACACCCGGAAATCTATAGGGATATCTTTAGAAAACGGGGGATGGTAATCCTGAATCAGAGAAACAATGTTAGTAAAATCAATTCATATAATCAACAGCAGGTACAGTGAAGATTTCACAAAAGTGTGCCATTTTACAATTACTAACGGAAAGAGAAATATCGGACAGAGGTCTTTTTGTACAGACCGAGCCCGTAGGGCGAGGCTTGTACAAAAAGACCGAGGTACGATATTTCTCCGTACATACCGAGCAAGCGAGGTGAATAAAAATTTTATTTATATATGAACATACTTGAAACCAACAAGAAATGTATAATTTGAAATGCAAATTAGTATAGCATGGTCAGTACACATTAGTACACATTTGGTCGAAGAAAACGGAAAAAAGACTGTATTCCTTCTTTTTCACTAAAAACCATTCGTAAATATCTTATTAATAACAAATTAAATTATAATTTCCAAATTTTTAATTAGTTTTGCTGATTTGCTTTTATACATGCATTTGTTTTTACGTAAAGTGTTACGAGGCTTAATTTAATTTAAGTGTAGTGAATCGTTACAATCAACCTCTAATAACTCTCAGTTCTTAATATAATGTTCGCCTTCTTGCAGTAGTTTTCTAAGAGTTCACTTCATTTCACTTTACTCATCAGTCTTCACTTTGCTTCACTTTACTGATCAGTTCACTGGAAAGTCCACTAGCGGGTCTACGTTCACTGACTTCACTACACTCTATAGTCCACTGTGAGATCACCCACTGAAAGATCATCCACTGAGAATTTGCGTTGTGCACGCCCTTTTATATATACTAACGGTTGAGGGATCTTTGTATACGTGATGTAGCAAGTGGTGTGATTTGTATCCAGCCAATCAACGTTGAGGTTTAAATGTGTGAGTTGGCATTGTTAGCTCGTTCCAGCTCTCACATTATGTTTATTTAAGGTGTTATCGCACCGGTGGAGTTGGTTCGCTGTTCAATCGATCAATGTTAAAATATGTTCACAACTTAAAATACTTATCAAAATATCATAGTAAAAACTTCAAACTATACCTATGTCAACCTTACTTTACCTACTAAACTAAATTTACTTACAATTTTATTGAACTAAGACTTTGATGACGTAATGTTATCATTACTCAACCGCGCGAAATATACCGAAGAATGATTGACAGAAATACCCTAAGCATGCACATTTTCATGTCAGAGAAGAACCAGCCTTGGACTTTGAATTATGTAAACACAACAGCCCACCATGCAAGGTTATCGTCCAACTTTGACAAATTAACGAGTTATCTATCTTGCCTAATGGACAGATAATTGACATTTTTACACAAGTCCGAAATGATATATACTTTATCTGCGTTTTACAGCAAAAATGCTCATTATCTCTCCATTTGACGTAACTAGTATCTATAATTTCCTGGGTTGCAAACTGAACTATTTTTATACTATTTAGATATACTTTCGTAACAAAAGGACCGCCGGAAAATAATGTACCGCTGACAGTGTTTTCGGCCAATCAAAGTCCGCCATTTCACTAGAAGTGATGCTTGGCATATAATAATTATATAGGTTATAATGCAGGCGCATTATACGCGTTGTATTCCCCTCATGTTGCAACCGTATAGTATAAACGCTAACGCTTCGCCATACTTGATAATACAAACTTATAATCACAAAATGCACAAAACAAAGCGCATGTATATGTAGCACGCCCATAGCACTTTTAACGAAGCATCCACAGGAAAGCTTTTCTACATCACCCCAAGCTCGTGAACAATTTGAATCAGAAACAATTGTAGTTTAGAGAGATCAGTTGCAGCGATATCATATAAATGTTTATTCCAAGGCTAAAACGCAGATACTTCTTAATATTATTTAGTAAAAATATATCCATTGCAATCTAAGATGTGTAGAGTTGCTATATATCGAAGCCACCCTATCACTTGTAGTTAAAGTAGCACCTACCCATGTACCACTGGTAAGTTCCAGGCCAGACGAAGGATCATAAATTGCTTGTTCGGTCAACCAGTAACCAAGACCCATGACGAAGGCGCCTTCAACTTGCCCAATGTCAATCTCAGGATTCACACTACACAAAAATATAATGAACTGTCGCTATACTACACGCCATCTCATTAGCTAAGAGCGTACTGCTAATATGGAAATCACGCAACTTAATCTATCAGATAAATTACTTATATAGGTACCAATTTTGCGAAATATATGCACACAAATTGCTGTTTCAACACGAAACGCAAATATTTCCGCTTTCCTGCAGTGAATAACTGGAAACTATCTCTGGAAGTAAGCAAAACTGAAGATGGCTACCCGAGAAAGCATGAACAGTTTTATTAAGACTTATACTTTTGCTGACAGATAGATTTAGAGAGTTTATAATGTCGACTCTTGGACTATACAAACAGGATTTTTCATCGCAAGCTCCACAGTTCGCATAGCCAAAAATTAAGAATGTTGCATTGTTTGCTTGTTGCCACGCTACGGCATTTAGGGGAATGAACATTCAGGACATTTAATGAACGGCTGTAGTGGGAGGACAATTAGCATATAGGTTTTAACTAGCGTGAATCTCGAATCTCCAGGCATGGGTAAGATTGCTTACCTTTTACCACAGTCGAATAAAATATCTGTCCTAAGTATTTCCGTCTCTCCAGTAAGGACATCAATCTCCACTTCAGTGCAAGTCGCAGCGTATATGTTATAGTTGCAGGGTTGGCCAGCTTTCGGCAACATCCTAAATATTCAAATTAGATTGTAAAAATATTTCACTACGAATTTCACAGAGTACTACACGATCTTAGCAGATTTCTGCACCGGGCTATGGTAGGCAATGAGATAGAATAACCAGGAAATTTAAAGTTAACCCAAGCAAGTGTTATATCTTGGCAAACCAGAAAATTTGAACCAGGGTGCTTTTTAGAGTGCAACATACAGCAAATAATGGTCAAGCGACTCCGGAAAAGTTAAAGTTAAATTAAACTACAAACTTCCCGAGTTTCTCGAATTTTCATGCGAAGATGGATATACTTAAGGGGTACTAGTCCCCAAGCCAACGGCGCGGAGCGAGGTTACTAATTCCTCCCGGCTATATACACCCGGGGAAAGGAAAGCATTTACGAAGTCCAATTAAAGCTCATGAATAATCGCTGGCGCATGGCTATGGTTCAACGTTCATGGGTTCTCGTTCTCACCCATCTCAAAAATGGCGGAGTGGACTGCATGAATAGCGATCACTTACTGGTCAAAGATACTGAATCTACATGACGACAACGAATAACAAACATTTCTGGCAAATATATTTCATTTTTGCAAGATTTTGTAAATTTCAAAACGTTTTTAATTTAAGAAGACTTGCTAAAAGAAGGGAGCAAAGACGCCGACGTTAATGAAGGTAAGTTTATTTTAAATATTGATGCATTGTTTGCTTTATAATTGCTTTAAAAACTTATCATTGTCTATGTAAATTGTGAAAAAGATCTACTAGAAATACATGCATGCAGCAACCCCTCGCCCATATTTTCCAAACATTGATTTAACATGAAGTATTAGTAATTGACCAACACTGACGAACGCAGGCTCGCGTTTACGTCAGTGTTGTCATGGCAACACGATTAAATAGTTTTATTTTTTATTATTCTCTTGTATAAGACGCAGTGTGACCATATATGCAATTTTTTTTACTAAAGCTGCTTAAAATTGGTTGGCTGCCCCCTCCTGTTCTTAATGTTGCAGTTGTTTAAAGCAGGTGGGGTTGTCTAAGGGCATCCAACCGGATCTGGTAATAAAATGTACTAAACCTGGTCACACTGACAAGACGGCAAAAATAGTCGAAAAAGTATTGCTTTTAACTATATAACAATGACTTTCCGAAATATGTACTGTAGGTATGTTGTTCTGGATTTTGTGAGCATTGATGTACTGTAAAATTTAACCTGAATTGCTTCGTAAAATGTTTTGAAATGTTCATTTTAATAACTAAACTGCTTTTGCCGATAAACTGTTTTTACTTCAAATTGTTGAATAATTTCATTTAGGTCATCAAATTATAATTTGCTCTCATTTACATTTACCTTTTTTCTTAAATTAAACAGGGTAATATAGGTTCTATATAGCTTCTATAAAAAGAAAAACAGCCGTGCATGTTTTACGCAATAACTTATTAAAGCAACAAAATTCATAATCATAAACATTAAACATTCAAAGCGAACTTTCCCTATATTTCACGATTTTCCATAGTAAATGAATTCTTCTCATTTTTTCAAACAAAAAGTGCTTCAAAGTTCATTGTGTGACACGTGATTTTCCAAATATATGCTTTTGAAAATTGAAATCTTGATTTAATATCCTCTATGTGCTTATCCCACTCATGGCAAACAGCCATATTTTTGAGATCAGTGAGGAGGTCCACCCTTGGATCATAGCCATGCGCCCACGGTATTTGATGAACTTTAGACTTCGCTAGTGCGTTCTGTTCCCCAGGTGTAAATAGCCGGGCGGAATTAATACCCTCGCCCCGGGCTAAGGCCCGGAACGTCGCTCCGCGCCGTTGGCTCGGGGATAATTTCAGTGCATATGAATTGATTACCCATTTTTATTATATTACAATTTTTAAATAAGGAAGAAAGCAAGGTTATTTGTATTCGAAAATTTGAAATCATTTTATCTCAAACTCAAATTGAAAGATATACAGGAAGGTTAATTTTAAGAACCTTTCAAAACGTTTTCAGAAGCATTTGTGGTTGAATTGTATAACTTGAAGCTTATATTACGTATAATAACGTATATAATAATATACATGAAGATATTACTCAACTGTGATTGGTTGGTTGATTTCAGTGCAGTTAATCCCAAACAGCAGTGCAATTTTCTGTAATCTCAGTGTAATTTTCTGTAATCACAGTGCAATTTTTTGTAATCACAGTGCAATTTTCTGTAATCACAGTGCAAAAATCTGTAACAAACTGATCTGATTGGTGGAAAAACATTGTGATGATTAAATCAACCAATCAGTTTTTAGCAATTTAGTTTAACGAAGTAACGGTCACAGATTGCTTCAAAACAAAACAGACATGGCGCCGTGCTACAGTGAAGTAAAAGTTGCTTTCGCGTGAAAAATATGGCTTTTATCTTTATTTTTAAATGGAAAAGCATTGACCTCAAGCTTACATGCAGGACACCCTTTTTGGCGTTTTGCGGAAAATCGCTACTGCGCGCTCAATATCAGTCCGATTTTCATCAAATTTTCACCAAATGTTTTCCAGTGCATGCAAAATATGATAAAGTTGTAAAATTAACAAACAATAAAATAATGTAAGAATTATTCAGGAAAATCTTAAGTCGCGGTACCTTTACCCTTTTGAGTTGTGCTCCTGCTGGTTTTAAGTTATATTTATGAAAATATCATTTTTATACAGTAAAATATTTGTTCTAAAAAATTGTGTTCGGAAATTTTTGTTTATTTGGAACAGCTGGGAAATTTGTTGTCGCTGTGCAGAGAAATTGCTGGCGCACTTGATATTTTACAAAAATTCTAAAATTTGAAAAAACAACACAAGTGAAATTTCAACTTATGATTTTGCATTTTTAAGACGCCGATCAAGGAAATTAAATTGTTGCAAAAACTTCACTAACATCTCAAGTATGGAAAGCATCTACATTACCAGCAATTTAATTGTGGATGGATTCATAATTCAGGCGATAAAGTTACATAGTTAGGAGTTGGCTTTTGTGCTCTTCAAATATCAGTTTTCATTCGCGGATTACCACAACTTGTTGGTCTCATTGGTGCCAAAATCGACATAAACGTAAACTGCTAACCAAGAGCTATGAAACAAATAGCTTTTCAAAAAGATAAACTTTATTCAGTCAAAAGGATGAGGGTAAATAAACATGCTACTGCGTGATAGTGATTTCGAAGCAACTTTGTCACATACATTTTAAAAAGTGTGATTATGAATCAAATTTTGCTTTTTGCAATTCCAAAAAGGTATGAAAATTATTTAAATATTTAAGGTTTCCATGTTTATAAAGTATTGTTTTGAGAAAAGTAAAAATTTTCCCGATAAAAAAGCATAGTTTCTGCAGAAAACTGTTTTCTGATAGAGAAGATCCTGGGGGAAGCGTGCACGGATAGCAAAAAACCTTGACGTTTCCTCCAAAAAATTAATACCAAATTTTGTTTTGCCTTTGTTTGATATGTAATTTAAACAAGTTTTTTTACATCAAAAAATTGCCCCTAGTGGTCAAAACTTGGATTATGTTCGCAGTATTGGCCATTTGCTTACTTTTGGGGATCAAAGTTTGAGGTCCAATTATTTTTAAAGTTTGCAAACTACCCAGCTAATTCTTGGCTGTTATTTGCAACCTTGTATGCTGATTAAAATTTAGTTTAGTCCACAATAGTAGATCCTTTCAATGAAGGGAAATTCAAAATAGTATATTTGATTACTTTTACAGCACAGTCATTACATAGGCAGGGTGCAATACCAGGCCAAATTGCAAAAAAATTTACCGATTCCTCCAAATTTAAAATCATATTTTTTTGCTCCCAAGGCACATAGGAAACAGAATTTAACAATAAATTGTGTTGAAAAATTGCCCCTTTGCGTCTAATTTCGCTTTGAAATGCGTGCGTATGCTCTTGTATGAAGCAAGAGTTCGAAAACATTCGAAGTACTGGTAAAATGTAATGAAATCGACAACTTGACCTTGCCCTTGAGACATTGTACTGCCTCAGCACTGAAATGTTTTTTGACAACGATAATTTACCAGTGTTTCTTGAATATTTTCCTTGTTTAACTAGTAGAACCGAACGTACAAGTGCATCAGAAGACTAAGCGAGAGTTTTGTGTAGAAATGCTCTGTTTACGGGAAGTTATTTTGCATTCGCAAGCGTCAACAAAACTGCGGCATTTTCACAGTTTGATTATCATAGCGATAGATAAAAGCTTTGAAAATTCAATTGAAAACATTTTAAACCACGCTTATTTGTATAGAACATATGTTAGTTGTATTAACATTGAACTTCTTTCTGTTTGAACCCAAATTTGTACTTGTTTTGCGTTTGACAAGGCTGTCAAGCTCGAAACGATTGGCTTACATGATGACTGCAGGTTTAGCGTGTCAAATGTCTTCTTGTTTGTGTCAAGATTATAACATTCTATTGCTGTTCAAACGAGATATTCTATGCACTGGAAACGTAGAGTACATTTTACTTTGTCTTTGTCTCAAGCAAAAAATAATAAAAATTAAACAGGCATTTAAAATTATACAACCACGCCAACATCTCGTAATATTTCTTCGGGGAAATCTTCATATTGTAATTATTATCTTCAAGTTTCAACTTTCAATGGAAATCTGGCGCATGCGCAACAAATTTCCCAGCTGTTTTTATTTGGTCATTCCGCTGATATGGCGATTTCTTTGAAGACTGCAATATATTTCTGAATTGTTCGAGTGAATTGCTCTTTATTTTTAAAATATCCAAAATTTAAAAAAAGCCGAACACAATTTTGAAGCTGACGTATTTAGCTATGTTCTGTGAAAATTTGAAAAAAATTGGTTAAAACCCGCAGGAGCACAACTCGTTTGAAAATCAGTAATTACCGTAAAATTTTTCGGGAGAAAATTGAATTTGAATATTACATTTTCAATGTTTTTCTTATTGCAGCGAAATGTATTTTATTAAATAACTCTGCGAGTTTTCAACATTTTTCGTTCAAACTTGGTCAGGTAGTAGAACTAGTCTAATGCCTTCATCGAAGCCAATAAAAAAATTTTAGGCAAAATTAACACTCAAAGGTGTTCTGTAACCTTAAACAAGACTAACAAAACTTACATAGTTGAGTGGAATTTTCAAGCTGTTAGCGTTGCGTAATGTGATATAACAAAGCCAGGAAAAGTTTGCCGGTGGAATGTTCGCTATAAACGCGTATGTTAAAACTACAATTGTCTCGAACACTTTTATGTAAATTCTTAATAAGTAATATCATGGTTTCTCGTGAAATTTGGATAAACATGCACTCGTGAGTTTTTCAAAGACCTCAAATAGCACTCGTCCTTCGGACTCGTGCTATTTCGAGGTCTTTGAATAACTCACTCGTGCATGTTATATCCAAATTGCACTCGAAACCATGCTATTACCTATACATAACGTATATAATAATACACATAAAGATATTACTCGACTATGATTGGTTGATTTCAGTGCAGTTAATCACAAACAGCAGTGCAATTTTCTGTAATCACAGTGCAATTATGTGTAATCACAGTGCAATTTTTTGTAATCGCAGTGCAAAAATCTGTAACAAACTGATCTGATTGGTGGAAAAACATTGTGATGATTAAATCAACAAATCAGTTTAAAGCAATTTAGTTTAAAGAAGTAACGGTCACAGATTCGGCTTCAAAACAAAACATGGCGCCGCGCTACACAAAGTAAAATTTGCCTTCGCTTGGAAAATGTGGCTTTTATCTTTATTTTTAAATGGAAAAGCATTTACCTTAAACAAGACTGACGAAAATTACATAGTTGAGTAGAACTTTCAAGCTGTTAGCGTTGTATAATGTGATATAACAAAGCCAGAAAAACTTTGCTAGTAGAATGTTCGCTATAAACGCGTAAGTTAAAACTACAATTGTCTCGAACATTTTTATGTAAATTATTAATAAGTAATATTTCTCGTGAAATTTGGATAAACATGCACTCGTGAGTTTTTCAAAGACCTCAAATAGCACTCGTCCTTGGGACTCGTGCTATTTTGAGGTCTTTGAAAAAACTCACTCGTGCATGTTATATCCAAATTGCACTCGAAGCCATGCTATTATACCTATACATAACATATCTAACATATAAATGTTTCAGAAATTGATAATTTCGCAATTAAAAGTGAGATTCTTAGGGGATTTATCAATTTTAAACATATTCATAATAAAATTATCGTGTTACCATGACAACTACTTTAAATACGTCATGTTCGGAATATACAACGTTTTGTCAGCAAGGCGAGGGTTCCAGCAGGTATGTATTTTATAGTTTAAGTCACACTTCATATGCACCAAAGGAATTGCTTTTGATTTGCTTGAGGTATTAATTGAATAATATCATATAGACAGCCCAATAGTTAAGCGTATTGAATATTTGACTAGAATGTTCAAACCTTTAATAACATTTTTATTAATTAAAATATTAAATACTTTAGTAAAATATTTAACACGCCCAGCTATTGATGATGCTATTTGCAATTAGAGCATTTACGATATCTGTGTCCATTTTTGTATTAACCTAGTAAGCTATACATACATGTATTTCGCAGACAAGTCAACACCAAGGCCATAACATTTGTCAATAATTTCCCCCCATGTTGCTTGTGGCATATCTTTTGCAATCAACGAGATTCTTTCCTTGAGCATATTACAGCAATTTATGACAGCCTACAGGAGTATTAACGATCAAGATATTTATACACGAAATAATGTCATAGCTCAAAGGTATAGTAATTACAGGCAGTGAGAGGAAAACAATCACAAGAACGTTTTGATCAGGAGTCAATTTAAGGTTATATACATTATATGATGAAAAAACTGATTTCCTCATTTTTTTACATTTTTATTGATTTGTATTCCAGAGCTGGAGATCTCTCGATTGCCGCAAGTTTTTTTCAAAAATATTAAAATGCGTCTGAAATATAACAAAAAATATTGTACCACTAATTTTTTTGCCGCAAAAATTGTAATAGGTGTGATATTCGATACCGGATGTGTGACCTTTAACCTCGTTTGTGTCTTCGTAGTGCATGACAGATTTTCTACTGCATTTTCGTTTAGCCGATTTACATCGGTCTGTATTGCTATCTCTTTTTTGCATTTGCGTTTCGCCGGCATATTAGAAAGATGTTTTTTGTGTGGTTTCTCGCATGTATGGTTTGTGATAAACTGGTAATGAGCGAATGATACCGAAAACCCTTGCCAAAACACTCTTTACTAATTTTAATCCGTTTACAGTTCGAGGTGATAACAGAGAGCAGAAAACCCCCGCCAAAACCAGTATCGTCTTTTACGGAGATTGAAATATTCTCAGATTGTCGCCACAAAAATAGTTTAGAAACGCGCACGTTTTATCTGATTCCCTCCAAACTTTACCACAATAATGTTGAAAAATAGTACAGGAGCAAAACCGTGCTCGCGTTTTTTTTATTTAGTGCCATACTTTTCAAGTTTTAGGGATCTGTTTTGTCGTTCTCCCAAAATTTAGATGAGTCAACTTGTCTGCTTTATATCAAAGCAAATACAATACCTGTCAAAAAAAGCAAACACGGTTTTGTTCTTTGATAATTTGAGATGGGAAATATTATGTTTCGGAAGCCTTTTAGGTAAATCAGAAGCGTTCTAATCTCGTGCCGCAAAGGCCGTCATATTTTCAAAAGCAACCGGTGGCCAGTACAGTTTTTAAAGATGCAGAATGCAATGATTTGTCATTATGCATGCAAATTTGAAGGGGAAAACTTGAAAATTTGAGCGCGCGGTGAGCATTTTGGTGAAATGGATTTCATTATGTGGAGTAACCTTAAACAATTTAATATCCTATAAGGTGCATGTATGCCTAATTGGCAAAAAACATAGTTCAAACGTGAACTCAAGAGCTTGTTTGCTAAGTTAAATAACTAATATAATTGTATTAGTAAATGAACAGCTTTACAAATTTAGGACAAATACAATATATAAGAATGTACCCAAATGGAAGAGGTGCGAACAGATCATAATACACTACTCATGCATGCAATGCACTATCCATGCAATACACCTTTCCAAACAAAATGCGTACACACCATATAGAATAAATTAAAAGTTAACAATTTGATCTAGTACTACCGACAGTTCATACAATGAAACAGTCAACTCCTATGACAAGGGCAATCACGCGATATTGACTAAGTGTATAATTACAGATTGGGATCAAAAGCAGTACAAATGTCAAATTACATGGAATAAGAATAATAAAGTTGCGCTTATAAATGTCTTGACACTCAAGAAATGTTTGGAGGAACTACTTTGCAAACACTGCATGTTCCATTAGTTTACTATCCTGTTGAAGTGAGAATTCTGATAAGTGGTGGTGTAAAAAAAAGGAGTCTTGAGCATCAGGGTTATATTCAGAATAAGGCGAGAACGGTTATGGATAACAGAACGGTTATGGGTGACGAAAAGAAATATTGGTGCCACAGTTCAAACTATCTTTGATGCACAGGGTGCACAGCAAGGGTGCAAGGGCTACTACACTTAGTTTAAATAATAAGCTCAAGTATACAAGTATGTAAGAAAGTGTGTAAATATACATCACCTCACAGCATAATTCGCTTGTTATACTTCTCTCAGTTGCATTACCTGTAAAACGAAAACGTCATTTCAAGAGATCGTTCATCAGATTTGTTTACTAAAGGTGACGGGTATAGGGAATAAATTTTTAAAAAAACCGACTGCCCCATAGCTTAAGGAGGCAATATATATATATATATATATATATATATATATATATATATATATATATATATATATATATATATATATATATATATATATATATATATATATTATAATATAGTCATCCACCGTATATGAGCTGTTCTGCAATCTGATTGGTTGAATTACTCGCCGTATATCAGCTCATATACGGCGAGTAGCGAAAAACAAGATGGCGGTCCAAAAACTACATGAGTTTTGCGAAGCAGAAAAAGAAAAATATTCGCTTTGAGAAACATAATAGTACAGGGAAAAACTCTCAAAAAAAATTGACAGGTTAGCAAAATACATTTATTACGTAGAAATTAGTTTAAATAAAGTTTTTTAAAGAATTAATACCGAAACAACAGCGAAAAAACATGTTCATTGAGAATATAAATTGTTCAGAAAAGTTTGCCGATGAACGACAAATGAATTTGCAGTCAACAAGCACTTACTATAGTACCAAACATCTGTACAATATATCTGAGCTTTCCTGTGAGATATAGAGGTTCTAAAACCATTTCTTTCACTTGGTCTTCGAGTTGTAAAACAAAAGTATTTCAAATTTTCAAGCGGTTTTTGGCCGAACAAATTGTCAACACATTGTAACAGTGGATAATTAATTACTGCTTCAGTTAATGGCTATATTAGACTATATTATAAAACAATTATACCATTCGCTCTCGTCGTATATGGCTGATAGCCGACTCGGTGCTACGCACCTCGTCGGCTATCAGCTCATATACGACTCGAGCTCATGGTATAATTCTTAAATATATGGTATGGATATAGTCTGGCTTGCCAACGTATAGAAATCACTTGTCTGGAGGATCCAAAGGATACATGACGCTTAAAATATTATAGATAGGTATACAGAAGGAAATGTGAACCCCAGACAGATCAATAATAATGTTTTATTACAAACGTTTCGCCAAAACAGGCTTCATCAGTGTAAAAAGTTAAAAACACAAGGAAGTTAACTCATGCGATTTATAACGTAACCTACTGTGTGAATAATTAAGAACTAATTAAGGACTAAATGAGAATACTCTATGGGTGTTTAAAAATATGGCCTATTGTTGCGAAATATTTAAATTGTTTCTAGCTTAATTACTAAAGTTTATTCTGTTCTTCGACCTGAATTCACATCTCTTATTGAGACCGTAAGGTTTTAAAGTGCATAACTGCACACTCCAGTATGCTTCTCTTGTCAACAATCGCTTCTCAATAGTGTTTGAATCACTGTCATGAACTATCTGTTCTATGCCTATAAACTTGAAGTCCGACAAATCATGCGGTGTTTTGTGGAAATGCGTCGCTACTTCACATGTCCTTTTATTGTTAATCGTCGTGGACTTGTGGTTACGAAAGTGGACCTTCAGTTCTGTGCTCGTAGATCCAATGTATTGCCGTGAGCACTTATAATACATGTAACTAGGTATACAACATTTTGCGAAATGCAACAAATGTTCTGTTTAATTGGGTACTTTACCCCCGTCTGACTACTGACCAATGTACTAGACTCATGCATGTAGTTGTTGCAAAAGTCGCACTTCTTTCCACATTTATAACACCCTTTTGGGCTTTGATCCCCGCTCTTTTCCTGCCAACGTTTCGTAGAAAGAATTTCTTTGATAGTTTTTAGCTTTCTGAAGGAAGGATATAGATCTAGGTGGAAAAATCTCTTGTAACTCTGATGAATCTTGGATAAGGTGAAAATATTTCTTCAGGATTTTTTTTTATTTCGGGAAGCCTGGGGTTGAAGTCGACAACCAACGGAAATAAAATTATCTTCTCTCTCTTGGTATATTGCAGTAGTTCCTCTCTGGGAATTGACTTCGCTTTGTTGAATTGCTTGTGTACATTATTCGGATTGTATCCTCTCCTTGTTAGGTACTTTTGATATTCTTTGCTGCGTTTATCAAAATCTTCTTCTGTTGAGCAATTTCTTCTTAATCTCGTAGAATTGTCTTGATGAAATTATCTGGGTGTGCACTCTTTCGTTGTAAGTAGAGATGATTATCGATGGGTTTTCAGTACGTTTGTCTGAATGAGACCATCAACTAGCGTGAGGGTAAGATCTAAAACATTTATATGGTGATACTTCCGAGTAAACCAGCGCAAATTCAATTGTGGGGTATAATGAGTTGATAAAATCAGTAATTTCGAGAAGTTTGGCAGTACCCTGTGTCCAGAGATCGAAAACATCGTCCCGGTAACGCCACCATAAATTAGGTTTAATTTCACCGGATTTCGCTCGTTCATCGATAATGCCCATCGTCAGATCCGCGTAACAGCTACACGAGTTCTTCGGGCCCATTTTCTGATTTTATCAACTCGTTATACCCCACAATTAAATTTACGCTGGTTTACTCGGAAGTATCAATAAATGTTTTAGATCTTACCCTCATGCTAGTTGATGGTCTCATTCAGACCGACGTGTGCTCAAAACCCACCGATAATCATTTCTACTTACAACGAAAGAGTGCAAACCCAGATCATTGCATCAAGGCAATTCCCTTTGGAGCAGCTACGAGATTAAGAAGAAATTGCTTAACAGAAGATTTTGATAAACGCAGCAAAGAATATCAAAAGTACCTAACAAGGAGAGGATACCATCCGAATAATGTACACCAGCAATTCAACAAAGCGAAGTCAATTCCCAGAGAGGAACTACTGCAACATACCAAGAGAGAGAAGATAATTTTATTTCCGTTGGTTGTTGACTTCAATCCCAGGCTTCCCGATATAGGAAAAATCTTGAAGAAACATTTACATCTTATCTAAGATTCATCAGAGTTACAAGAGATTTTTCCATCTAGATTTATAATACCATCCTTCACAAGGCCAAAAACTATCAAAGAAATTTTTTCTACGAGTCCAAAAGTCCAAAAGGGTGTTATAAATGTGGAAAGAAGTGTGACTTTTGCAACAACTACATGGACGTACTTTTTGGACGTACTAATAACAAGAACTGACAACGGCACCTTAAACACACACAAGTATATCGCAAGAAAACGCACACAGACCAAATATTAAATTACAATAGCAACCACCCCACACAGCACAAAATCAGTTGCATAAAAACACTTTTCAACAGAATTGACACGCACTGTAGCACTGAGGAATCTAAACGAGACGAAGGCAAATACTATACTCTTCACAAAAATGGCTACCGCTTGGACTTTGTCAACAAAGTAGCTACTATCACAAAGGAAACAAACTAACACAGACCAACCAAACCAAACAAGAAAGAGGATCACACTTCCTTATATAAACACCACGTCGGAAATGACAGCTAGACTTCTCAGACCGTTCAACATCGACATTGCACACAAACCAACATGCAAACTTAAATCCAAGTTCACTAATCATATGCCTAAAGACAAAACAAACGTAACCGAGAAACATAACGCCATTTACATGTTTACTTGCAAAAACTGCCCCGACAAGTACATTGGACAAACGTCTAAGAAAATTCAGACAAGATTAACCGAACATCAAAACGCCATTAACAGACATGACCAAAATTCACTCCCAGCCAAGCCCGCAGACGATAACGGACACAAATTTGACTGGTCTCAAACGAGATGCCTAGGACAAGCTACTATGAAACATGCCCGTGGGTTTAAAGAAGCGTGGCATAGTATAGATAATCAAACATTTAACCGCCGTATTGACATTCCTGTAATATACTTACAACTAAAACACTCACACAAAAGTCCTGTTTCGCCTTCATTAACCTTTAACTCGCCCGCAACTTCTTTCTCAATAGGGAGTTTAAGATATCCCTGTTTCGATGAACGGGTACGGGTAACATGATTTTGGTTAGCAGTACTTTCGTCGATGTTTGTACCTTTACGCGTAATTGAGGTCACATTTTTCGCATTAGCGACTGGTCATAAAGTAACTGCTAGGGTGGGCTGGAGGTAAATCACAAATTTTGCCAATAAGTTCGGCGACCCATCTTAGGATGTAGATAAAAATTTCAAAGCCCATCCAATCCTACAAATTTACTTCATGACCCACCCACCCAATCTAAATTGGGAAAATAAACTTTTATAATGAAAAAAACTTGCAGGTATGAACATAATTATATCAATACAGTGCCGGTGTATATCTTCATTTTTTTATTTGCGAAGCAGATTACTATTAACGTTATCCATAGCCATTTAGAGACGAGCTTATATAATTAAGCCAATCAGCGATTAGCTTACATCAATTGTTTACATCGTGCTCGTACATAACCTGCAAACGGGCGTAGTTTGACCTCGTGTGAGTCGTGTTATTCTTTGCCATAATTGAATTGGCTGTCTTGTTTTCACCATTCTACTTGTGATATTATTCCGAAGTTATCTATCAACAAGGAAACTTATCCTCATCTGCATGGTAAGTAGTCAAATACCACATATTTTATTATATACATTTATACAGTATAAAAACAATCATTGTGTAATATTTTATACAGTCAAAACTCTGGCTGCAGACATTATATTGCCAATTAACAATATCACAAGAAACTAATGTTCTCAGGAGATATTGAATTAAATCCTGGTATTTCTGTAACTCTGTTCAAAACAACAGTCCAACTAAATTGTCACCAAATGTGGTGTTAGAACAAAGGTAAAGATGCCATCAGTTAAAATTATACTTTATATACATTTTGGTTTTGCACATTAGAGCTAAAAAATTTTACAACCTTTTTCAAATGCTAATAAAAGAATCCCACCCTCCCTCACTACATTGTCATTTTGCTTTCTAATATAAATCTTTTTGTTTATGAATACATTTACTGATGTATTGGATATTGGCTGGATAATTTTGTCAGAACAACCCACTTGCAAGAAAATCTTACCTAAATTCATTAGTATGGAAAATAACTTAACAGCTACAACAATCATATATTATATGGATAGATCAGATCAATGGCACACAATGTACAAAACTAAACTTGTGATACCTTCTACTTAAACAGATATTCTCACACAACACAAATTGTTTTGTGTGGATATGCAGAGTTAAACTGAACAGTGTGGTGTATCATAACTGTGCACAAGATTGGAATTGAATTATATACTTCACTCATGACCTTCAAAACGTCTACTATTCAGTGGTCTTCAATATATGATTGACTCTTTTCCTCGATTAGTTTGTGTATGTTACTCAACAGTTAACATTGGCAAGTGTAAACAACAAGTGACAGAACTTTTGCTTCATATGATTACAATAATGTTTTGAAAATTCTATGAGTATGGATTGACAAGTGACAGTTTACTAAATAAACGGCTGTATAGACACTTCGAATATTGTTTGCATGAAATTTTTATTTCCTGACTGCATAATTATCCGTTACAAGCATAATCACGTTACAAAATTAGTTAAATTTTCTCAGCGGGTGGTGGACAGTTGCCCCTGCTGCCCTCTGTGCAGTGTACAGCCCTGCCCTGTTAGATTTGTATTATGTTTGATTGGTATTATGTTGTATTTGCTATTATATTTATCATTCAATAAGTGATGAAAGTAGATATGGGTTTTTGTTTGGTGGCCCAACCGTGGACATACAAAATAATTGGCGGCCCATCGAAACTGCCCCAAGATTTTCCATGGCCCATCCCAAATCACTCCGGCCCACCCTAGCAGTTACTTTATGACCGGTCCCTAAGATATCATTGTCTATTGCAAGAAAACAGAAAAAGTATGATTGAATTACACACATCAGTAAAAACTAGTAAACAAGATGACACTACTCGTACCCGTACGCCGAAACCGGGATATCTTAAACTGACTAATATCAACTCACGATGATTGCAATCACCCGCACTCCATGGCAACCAATAACAATCTATCAGCCGAAATCCGTGATCAACCAATCAGACGTTCCCAAAGGCTTCAAGAACGAGAACAGCGCGAAAATTCAAACATTCCAACTTTCCGATGAAAGCTCGAAGTACCGAGTCGAAAGCTCAAAACATTTAAATTATAATCCAGAGAACAAAATAACTTGTAGAATTATTCAATTAATATATAATGTTAGAGATTAACTTATAATTATAAGTACTAAACTTTAATACGAGTTACACCAATCAACGACTGATTTAACAAAGCTTGAATAAATCACTATCCGGTGAATGTGTTTTCACATTCCAAAATATAATTCCAATTTATATATATAGATATATAAGTTGGGTTTGTCCACTTTGCTAGAGTGCTCAACACAGAGATTGTGGAGCGAATTATATTTTGGAATGTGAAATCACATTCACCGGATAGTGATTTTTTCAAGCTTTGTTAAATCAGTCGTTGATTGGTGTAACTCGTATTAAAGTTTAGTATACTTATAAGATTAAATGGGTTTTATACTTGTCGTTTATATCCGTAGCTTCACAGTTTTTCAAGCATTTTACAAAGTTTGAAAAAGTCACTATATCCGGTGGATAGCGCTATCCGGCCTTCGCACAACCAGCCACTGAACAACAACAACAACAACAACAACAACAACAACAACAACAACAACAACAACAACAACAACAACAACAACAACAACAACAACAACAACAACAACAACAACAACAACAACAACAGCAACAACAACAACAACAACAACAACAACAACAACAACAACAACAACAACAACAACAACAACAACAACAACAACAACAACCACAACAACACCAACAACAACAACAACAACAACAACAACAACAACAACAACAACAACAACAACAACAACAACAACAACAACAACAACAACAACAACAACAACAACAACAACAACAACAACAACAACAACAACAACAACAACAACAACAACAATAATAGTTTATTTGTACTGTACTTATGCTTCTGTAAACTAGATCAATAGTCAAGTTATCTATAGTTGTGAATTGGGTGACTATAATGAAACATTAGCCAAAAAAACTGAGAGAAAGAGAGTTTTAGAGATTAACATACCGTTTGGATTGAGAAAACTTGTTGCTGGTCGAATTGAGATCTGATCAACAGTCAAACCGTAGCCAAGAATATGGGCTGCAACTTGACAAACCTAGAGTAAAACGAGACAAAATCTGAATAATTTTTGTTTATCCATGACACGGATTTGAACTGCCTGGTATCGTTCAATTCATTAAAAAGATAATTGAAATAATAATGTACTAAGTTGAAATTCTGCCTATAGAATCACTGACACCTTTAGCCATATATAGTGGCTGAGGTATATTAGGGAGCTCTAGATTTGGGTACGGGAACGAGTACGACTATAATATTAGTTATTTGGATACGTCATATTCTTACTGGATCTTCTAACGCTATCACTGACGCCATATAGATCGACAACGGGATTTTTGAAAGGTCTTGCGGTGAAATAAGCATCCACTATGAGATTAATGGCATAAGAAGATGGCGAGTATTTGCAAGCAACAAATCTCGTCGTTGTCGTGGTCTTGTCGTCATCATCATCAGTAAGCTGTAGTTTATTATTATAAATACCTTTGTGTCTATCCCTTGTCCTATCTCCACTCCTCCATGTGTTATACAAACAGTACCATCTTTACGAAATATTGCCACATAAGCTGTAAATCGCAAGCCCGCTGGATACGTCACACCCTTTCGCAAAGGTACAATACTCATTCCCCGCTTGCGCCAACGATTTTGCTAAGGAGAGAGGAAAATGAAAGAGAAAAGCAAAATAAGAGGAGTGCTCCAGAAAATTATTTTTTCCTACGGATCATGCATGTCGTTTATATATAAGGACCAGGGGGCTGTTGGTGTAAAAAGGTAGTTGGATTTTTTCTGTGTTGGTGTAATGTACTCATGTGAATATGATGCGTGCATGTGATGTTACTCTGAGTGTATATGCACACCGGGCAAGCTTGAAAAATATGTCTGGCCACGGTGGGAATCAAAGTTAGGGTTAGTTAGAGTTACTACATGTAAAAAGGGCGAAAGTTAACAAATCAAAATCGCGTAATTTCCAGTTCACTAATATTTAACTACAAAACAGTGACTAAAATGTATTTAAAGAGTTTTATACAACCGCTCCCTGCAAAAAAAGTAGGGAATTCTTTAAATTTCGAAACAAAATCTATTACAAAGTCCATACGTCTATTTGCTTTTTGTACTTAAACCAGACACATACCTTGTTGAATACCTGGATAGCCGTTCTACGTTTCTCAGCCTCACTTGATTGTTTCAAATCTGTAAAAATACCAAAAAAACTTGTGTCTATAGATTAATAGATTAATAATTTAAACTAGGAAGGGAAAATTGCATCGTTGACAAGCATCGCATCATTCAGTTCTAAGACTGTGGTTTATGTATTATTTATGTGTATTATATATTATATATATATATATATATATATATATATATATATATATATATATATATATATATATATATATATATATATATATATATATATATATATATTATATATATATATATATATATATATATATATATATATATATTATATATATTATATATATTATATATATATATATATATATATATATATATATATATATATATATATATACAACAGTATTCATACAGATAATATACATTAACTGCAACTGGTCCAGATTTCTCATTTGCGCACTTTTGAGCATAATTCAAAATCAATTCAATTCAATTTATTAAATTGCCACAAAAAAGGAATTATTTGCAAAACAAACATAATAAAAGATGCATGTGACGAGGAAGCCCAAGTAGAAACCATAAGGCTTATTCAGTTATGGGCTTCCTCATTTATAAAAGTATTACAATAGTTTATTCACAACTGTGCTATAGTAGTCAGATAGGCTTAACTTAACTACATTTGGCATATCTGGGTTTTAGGGTATTAAAACCCAAGTATTAAAAACATGTTATTGTGGAGAGAATAAGAAGTTTCTTAATTTGAATTGAAATTGTTGAAGAGTTGGTGCATTACGAATAACGCTACTCAGTGTATTAAAAAAGTTGAACCTTGATAGGACACAGAGAATTGACGTAACTTATAGTTCTACACAATGGTTCATATAACAATTCAGCTCTCCGCAAGCCATAGCCATGCACCTGTTTTACTAGTAACAACAAGTTGTCAAAGTTTTTATGTATAAAAACATAAATTTCCTCAGATTGTAAAAATAAATATCCTTGAACTTAAATATTTGATTATCTTTAAATGATGGATCAGTGTGGGCATCAAATTCTACCTTATTGATAATTCTAATCACCCTTTTTTGGAGCAATAAGAGACGATTTAATTTATAAGGGTATGTTGAACCCCACAGTAGCTGTTACACAATATTGTAAATAAAGATAGACATTTATTATCAAGTGCATAGTAGGCCTATAGTGTACGTAGAGCTACCTTGGTGAGGCAAAAACTTGCTCGATATATGATACCAACCGATTGAGAAATTTTGCTAGCAATATGCGAAATGTGAAGTGACCAAGACAAGTGTTCATCCAGGATCACTCCAAGAAAAACTACATGATCTGTGCGATCTGTGCATTTATATACAGCGGCAAACTAGTAATTTGTCTCTTTTGCTGTGGTCTAAAAATAATATAATTTGACTTCTTTATATTGAAAGACAGTTTATTGGCTTTAAACCAATCAGTCAACTTAAGTAACTCTATATTTACGATGTTGGTCAAGTTAGATAGATCATGGTCAGAAAAAAATAGATTGGTATTGTCAGCGAATAAGACCAATTCCAAGGCATGTGAGACATTGCAAATTTCATTGATATATATCAGAAATAGTAATGGCCCAAGTACAGACCCTTGAGGTACTCCACATCTTATAGTATTAAACGAGGATGTTACCACATTGCATTCAACATATTGTTGTCTGTTTGAAAAATAATTTCTCAGCCAATTAAGTGCCAGGCCACGAATTCCATAATGATTGAGTTTTTTCGAAGAGAATTTCATGATTTATAATATCAAATGCCTTTGAGAGGTCTAAAAAAATCCCCACTGCATATTCTTTTTTATCAATTGCTGATGTTATCTCTTGTCTATTAAATCAAGTAAAGCGAAAGAAGTAGATTTAGTTTTCCAAAAACTATATTGGTTATCAAATAAAATGCCATGCTTATCGGTATACTTGGTTAGCCGATTATACACAACCCTCTCCAATAATTTTGAAAATATCGGTAAGGTAACTTCATGTGCGCAATCTTAGGAATCTCTTTTCTGTTTAAAAATTCTGTTTTAAAATATTAGATAAAAGATACCTGGCATTTCATGAAAGTTCTCTATTCGTAGTTTCACAACATCTCTGGTATTTTTGCTAATTAACATCCAGTATAGTGGATAGCCGTATCTATCCTTCGAATCTATATTCGTATCTATTATTCTTCATTCGCTAACCTTGCCATATTTTGGATATGTTGCAATAAGGTAGAGGTTGGTGGTAGAATGTTGTCTGCAAAAGGAAGGAATACGAAATATAACATTTATAGTACGCGAGCGTTGATTGGTCGAGAAGTATGATTCTATAACTGTTTGGAAACACAAGAAATTTACTGTCTGACAGCTTTGATTTTAAAACGTAAACAAAATTTTAACACGCGGTGATTAATCTTTTAACACGCGGTGGTTAATCTCTTAATTTCCCGCTGTTCCCCCTGAAAATGACTTTTCCAACCTGTTTCCCGCGAAATTCCCAGGCGGAAATGCGCTAGTAAAGTCATTCGAATAATAGGCTAATAGCTGTTATCGTAATTGAATACGTATGTGCTACGTACCAGCGGTATCTGCATTATTCTAACATCGAGACGAGGCTATAGGGTCATGTTTTTTTACCCTTTAGCCTCGTTTTCGTGCGTACTTCCACTGCGATACCGCTGGTATTCCGCAGCGGCGTATTCAATTACGATAACAGCTATTAAATTTCATGTTTTGTAATTGTTGTGAGTTGTGAATTGGAAGAATAAAAAGTGCTGCAAAATGAAACGGGCGATACGATATTTTCTTGTCTACTGTGGTTCTCTTGGATAACTAAAGCGGATATAACAAAGAAATGCTATTTATTTACCTAAATTTAATTAAAAAGCCTTGTTTTTTTTAATCTCAAAGTTACTATACAGCCGGCTGTATCCAATTAAGAATCTGAAGCACACTGTCGTGGCAAACTTAATGCATGACTAGCTTTATGACATATAGTATTAGTAGTACTAGTAAAAACTTTATTTATACCCGCCGGTGGTTACACCCACTAATAAATCATCGATGAAACACTATTGTTGTTGTGAAATTTAATTAAAATCATTCTTGTTAACCTTTAGTTATTCAAAAACAGCACTGACACTCACCGGAAGCTCGGATTGAACCTCCACTCTTTGAGTATGAGTGAGCGTTTAGAATACAGGCGTAAGTTCTGCTTGAGTGAGTGCCGTTATAGTCGTGTTCAAGCGTGAGAGCGAGTACGTGGAGTATGAGTCTAAAGATTTACGCACGTATTCTAAAAGCTCACTCACACTCACACTTAAAGAGTGGAGGTTCAATCTGAGCTTCTATTGAGTGTCACTGCTGTTTTTGAAAAGCTGGAGGGTTAGTAGTCACATAGTAAACTACGACACTAACACTTCAGCTATTTAAAAACAGCATTGACACTCAATATAGAAGCTCAGATTGAACCTCCACTCATTTAGTGTGAGTGAGCTTGTCGAATACGGGCGTAAGGCCATGTTCACATTGTCTCGGATCACTTTGCGTTCGACGCAAAAACCAGGCTTCTGTTTACATATAAAATGTTATCGTCTCAATTTCTGCAACGAACCGGTGGTGCGGCAGTTCTCTCTTCGAAGTGGAGCGCGCTGTATCAAATTGGTTTTTGCAACGCTCTCATTGTAATGTTAACACCAATCGGAGCAATTTTCGCTTCAATGCATGACTCAAGATGGCGTCTAGCAAACAAAAACTTGCTATGCTGAGCGGAAGCTGTTTACACTTGGGCTGTAACATTTTGCGAACAGAGCGAAAACCGACCGATGCAATGTAAACATAGCCCAAAGTTCCACTCGTTGAGAGAGCACTCTTTGCGACTCAAATGTTTATTAGTTGTATTAAAGGGGATAACTGAACAGGAACTTGACGGAGTTCTACCTTCGGGTAATGCAATTCGTTATAATAAGCTGGTATTGAATCGCATAGCCTTTAAAAAAATGCACAAGCTGCATGGTTTGCAAGTATGGCACAAAGTAGGCAATATTTTCCCGACTTGGAAAAATCACTTTAAACTGAGTAAGTTGCAATGGCGTGGAGCGCCCGGGGCGAGAGTTCTAATTCCGCCCGGCTATTTATCCCCGGGGAAAGGAAAGCATTAGCGAAGTCTAAAGTTCATCAATGATCGCGGACCTGGGCTATCCGAATTGTATGTATCTCACTTAATTTTAACAGTGGGTGTAATTGTACTGTCTTCTTTCATTTACATTGTTTTGAGGAATGATTTCCAGTAATGCTAATCCCGGAGCCAACGGCGCGGAGCTCCGTTCCGAGCGTAAGCCTGGGTTGAGGGTGCTAATTCCGCCCGGCTATTTACACCCGGGGAAACAAAAGCATTAACGAAGTCTAAAGTTCATCAATGATCGCGGGCGTGGGTTACCAATGAAGTTTCGGTGCGTGGCCATCCTCACTCATCTCAAAAATATGGCGGACTGTCATGAATAGCGGACACTGATTGGTCAAATTTAAAGTTTGCATTATAACGACTGCATGATGACAGCGAAATAGCAAGCATTTCTTGATTTGATGATTGATGAATAATGATTTCTTGCAAATATATTCCATTTTTGCAAGATTTTGTGAATTTCGAAAGCTTTTTAAGAAAATAAAGGCGAAAGAATTACTAAAAGAAGGGAGTAAGGCACCGACGTTAACGAAGGTAGGTTTGTTTTAAATATTGATGCATTGTTCGCTTTATAACGGCTTTGAAGCTGATCGTTGCGTATATTTTAAATGAAAAAGACAGCATATGATTTCAGTGTTCTTTATTGAATAACCTTTTTTATTATATTAAAAAAGCAACGCTGTTTTTTGAAATAATTTTATTTCAAACTCAAAGTTTTCCGATAAAGCCTTTAAAGCCAGTTTAGTTTTATAAAGAACATTTTAAAACGTCGACTTGGGAAGCGTTTGAGGTTGAATTTTACCTTAAATTGAAACTTATATTACGTATAATAACATACTTAAGGTAATTCCGCAGTAATTGTTCCCGAAATGAGAATGTGCTGAAACTTCCCAGGCATGGAGTTTATGATATACTTAAAGTAAAATCACAGAAAAAGTCGGGGTCACCGAACTCGTTAAGAAGATATAACAATCACAATATACCACCTTTACCCCAATATGGCGCCATCTTGACGCTCATTACGAGTAACAGCAAAATCACAACAGCCCGATATTTATATTGACGTTTTTAGCGCGGATTTTGCTATAGTAAACCTATCTTGTAATTATTTTTGAAAAAATATTGTGTTTTGAGCAAAATCAAACTACTAACGTGTACAATTCTGATCCACAAATGTCTTTTGCACATTTCTCTACATATCCTTCTTTGAGAACAGGCATTGACAAAGCATTTTTTATCAAGATTCAGAAATGATTTTTCTTTTAATTTCGGATATGAAATGTAAAATACATTAAAGAAATAAATTGTCAGTTAAAAAACGGGGGTCACCGATCTTTTTAAGGAATTGTGGCATTAAAACGTGAAATACAAGTAAACATACTACAGACACATGGAACCATAGCTACACTTTTGTATATGCTTTTTTTGAAAACATTGATTTTAACGTAATTCTTTGCACTAATGTCACCAAAGATGTTTTGAAGTAACATAAAATTGTCATAAAATGTTGGTTTTTTTAAATGGTACGTATAATGGATGGAATTATAAGTTATAAGCCGTGCGCAGTAAAAGTGCGCAATGCAAAACTGCGGAATACCTTAACATATATATTTTTAGAACCACTGAGTATTTTAATAAAATACAAAACAAGTGAAACTCCAATAATAAACAACCTAATTATTGTATCATATTTTTTATCATATGTTTTGTATTTTAACACATATGTATGGGGAATTGAATTGATATTTTTAGGGGATTTTTCATTTGTAAAAATATTCTTAACAAAATTATCGTGTTACCATGACAACTACTTTAAATACTTCATGTTCGGAAAATACAATGGTTTTGTCAGCAAGGCGAGGAGTTTCCGCATACACGTATTTTCTAGTCTATTTATCCATCCACCGTCATGTTTGCTACGCTCATGCAATGTGAGTGTCGGTCAAGGGATGTATACCTTTCGCTCACACTTCACTCCAAATTTGAGCTTCCCTTGAGCGTAAGTGCTGTTTTTGAATAACTGGAGTGTGAGTGTAGTATCATAATATGTGAGTGTGAGTGGAGACTCGATGAATGATGAGTTAATTAAACTTAGGGACCGTTCATTATTTACACCCGGGGTTGGTACCGAAGAGATATGGGTTGGGTAATCAAGTTTTTGACTAGCTCATGGGTTGGGTAAAAAAATTTGTGGCTGTCTGTCAGCTATAAAATAAAACCGAAATTACCATGCATTGGAAAATATGAAGAAAAATGTGCACAATACATTCTGTACCAAAGTAGACTATCAGTGATTGAGGAAGGACTCTATTATTGATCAGCAGGAACGTGGTTCCATTGGCACACTCAGTGAGTTTGAGTCTGAGTGAGCTTTTAAAATTTAGGCAACTTGATTTCTGTCACCATATAATCTTGTGTGTTTAATTATTAAGTACAGTAACACATGGGTTGGGTAAACATTATTTTGACCAATGTTGAGGTTGGGTAAATAAAAAAATTACAGTGTTTTTCGCTTCTCTTCGGTACCAACCCCAGGTATAAATAATGAACGGTCCCTTATTGAGGATGAACCTCCACTCTTTAAGTGTTAATCAGCTTTTAAAATACAGGTATGAATGATATTTAAAGTATGAATGACCCCATTCTTCACACGTGCACAGCACTAAAAGTGATTAAACAAACTAGAAAATACATACATGCAGAAACCCTCGCCTTGCTGACAAACCATTGTATTTGCCGAACATGAAGTATCTAAAGTAGTTATCATGGTAACACGATAATTTTTTAAGAATATTCTTACAAATGAAAAATCGCTTAAAAATATCGCTTTTGATTACAAAATTATTAATTTCCCAACATATATATGTTAGGTATGTTATTATACGTAATATAAGCCTCAATTTAAGGTAAAATTCAACCACAAACGCTTCGCAAAACGTTTTAAAGTCACTAGTGTTCTTTATAAAACTAAATAGCTGCCTTTTAAAATGCTTTATCGATAAAATTTGTGTTTGCAATAAAATGATTTCAAATTCGCGCTTGCAAATAACTTTGCTTTCTTCTTTATTTAAAAAATTCAATATCATAACAAAGGGATCAATATTAAAGATACACTAGTGAATTATATGCTGTCTTGTTTAGTTGTTTCATATACGCGAAGGCCGTCGGGTTTTAAAGCCATTATAAAATCAATATTTAAAACAAACTTACCTTCGTTAACGTCGGCTCCCTTCTTTTGGCCGATACTTTTGCAGTTTGAGAGCTGTTGAAACTTACAAAATCTTGAAAAAATGCGAGAAAAAATGAAATATATTTGCAAGAAATTTATCAATCATCAAATCACAAGAATAAGATCAGGAAATGTTTGCTTACTTTGCTATTTCGCTGTCGTCATGCAGTCGTTATAATGCAAACTTTAAATTGGACCAATCAGCGTCCGCAATTCATGACAGTCCGCCATATTTTTGAGATCAGTGAGAATGACCACCCACCGAAACATCGTTGGTGAGCCACGCCCGCGATATTTGATGAACTTTAGACTTCGCTAATGCTTTCGTTTCTCCGGGTGTAAATAGCCGGTGCGGATTAGTACCCTCGCACGGCGCTTCGCGCCGTCCGCTCGGGGACTACCATAGGTCTAATCAGTGCTAGGTTTGATTGTCACGTAATCATTTATTTAGAACTTATGATTATATATTTAGGGGGGGGGGGGGCTTTCTTCATATTCGTCATAATTCGTGCAGATCAGGTTCATGTCGCCGACATTTCCCGGACGCACCGTTTCAAAGTATTAATTTTGCATATTAATTTTACTAATTGTGTAATTTCTCGTTCATGATGAAGTTTTTGATTGTAATAAATATAACAGTTTGTCCACACTATAACAATATTACATAAATTAAAACCTTTACCTGTCCTTTCTTATAGAAATTAATTTCACGGATTTTATCCGGGCTCTTATTCAGTGCCTTAGCCACGTGATTCATCACTGTCTCAATAACAAATGTCGCTGGCAAAGTTCCTGGAAACAACAAAGTATAGTACTAACTTGCAGACCGTCAAAACATTGCACACATATCTGCTACCGAGGCTAATAGGTAGCTTTGTTTTACCGAGAGTTATAATGTTTCGCGAGACGAAGTGGAGGTCGAACTATTTCCTGAGGGAATAGACATTTAACACTTATTGTCTGGGACCGAACGAAGTGGACCAGAGGGAAACATTGGCAGTCGAGGGTCCACAAAAAAACACTGTTTCAATAAGTCTTATATCATGTACCAAGTGTCGGAAAGTCATTAACAAAATAAAAACCAAAAGAAACAGAAAACGTTCAAAACTTTCTTTGTAACTCGACGATTATATTGTCAGACCTGCTTCCAGGAGTAGAATTTCACGTAATAGACCCTTGCCAAATGAGATGCAAGAAAACATAAATTTTAACAATTACAGTTTATAACATAATAATAAATGTTTAATTTGTTACATAGCGACGAAGTGAAATTAAACAACACTGACACAACAATTCTATTTTATGAATGAAAACTCTTTAATTTAATATAAATTCTTTTAATTAAATTAAAAGAACCTGATAAAAAGGTTTCAGTAGTATTTCCTTCTGATTGTTGTGTAGTTTCATGTAAACCACTACTTGTGAAGTTGGTATCCTCGTTAAGAATTATGTTCATTCATTTGCTTCAATTCCCTGTTAGAAGCTGTATTCTTTTAATAAACTGGAGAAACCTTATTTGTAAACATGGGACTTCAGTTTCACCTGTTTGTAAACATGGGACATCAGTTTCACTAAACCCACATGATCACAGATCAGCCAATCACTTTCAGTGTTAAGCACTAGCTAGATAACAATGAAGTCAGTCCTATTTTCTTGGTATAGTTGCATCACAAACAGGAGGCAGCAAATTTAATTTTGAAATTATAATGGCTTGTTCTATAATGCCTGCCAGAATTTTAGAATTAGAATTATGTAACCCAAACGATGGCAGTAAGGCCTAACAAAATTCAAGTAAAAAGTATTTAAACCCATCTCCATTATGAATGTGGTCTTTTCCGACAGATATCTCTATGGCAGTAAGGGGTCATACAAAATTTATTGTACCCGGGCCAATTTTGAAGCACCTCTTAGATTGGTGTGATAAAAACTGCAGCTCCGCTCGGAACTTTGCCATAAAAAGGTGCTGCCCAGCACTACTGTCAGTAAAGAAAGCTTGTGCAGCATGTGCTTACCGTAGCGTTGTTTACCATGTTAGAGGAAATCGCAGAAATGTGTGGGAGGTCTGACACTGTGATAAAGGGAATAAACCGCGCCATGGCCTCTCATTTGTAGTTATTTTATCTCTTCATCGGACGAAGATTCTGCCACTAACGAATAGAACAAGGCATTTCAAACGTCTGTGCTGACACATGATGCAATAATACATTCATTAGGTGTGTGCCACACCTTGTAAGACAGAAAAAAATATTTGTGCCCCGCTTCTACGCAGTTGCAAGGCAGAAAGAATCTGTGTGCCCCACTTCTAATCAGCTCAAAAAAGTATGTGCCTCGCCCCCTTTTGCTCCGCCAAGTATAAAATAAATTTTGCATGGCCCCTAAAACCTACAGTACCTGGTGAGCGTACGAAGGCGTTGGCTGCAGTGTTCGTCTTGCATGGCACACCTCGATATTTCCAGTTTTCACAATAATACGCTGAACGTAAGGAAACAGAGAAAAATATTGAAAAAATACAAATATATAGCAAAGTACACTGGACAAAGTATAGTGAAATCCATGCTACGGAATATGCAATTACATTACTAAATCCATAGTATATTCATCCCCGAGCCGGCGGCGCGAAGCGCCGTGCGAGGGTATTAATTCCGCACGGCTAATTATACCCGAGTATGTGAAAACATAGCAGAGCGCAAAGTTGTCCTCCATTTTGTTTATGTCATGGACGGTTTTCGACGTTATGTGCGCATGCGCGAGTGCAAAATCTGTCGAAGTAAATTGCTGTTCATTTTGAAAGGACGTATTTTGCTGTTTTACAAGCAATTTTTTGTTTTAAATTTCGTTAAAATTTTAAGAAAGTACAACACTTTTTTCCTCGATTTTAACTGGAAATAAGCCTGCAGTTTCATGAATTAGTGGCTGTTCAACCGTGAAACAAAGTTTGCATAAAAATTGTTTTGATGTTTTGATGTTGATATCTTTGATAATTTATAAATTTAATCGTCGCTGTGCCGGTTTGGGTAAGTGTAAACATTTCAGTAGTAAAATGCCATGCTGTACTTGCTTTGTGGGTATGCATGAAAGCTGGTATGCATGAAATTGCAGTGAATGTTATCGTTCATCATAAAGCTAGCGCATCACGGCATCAGTTGTGTTTTTGTGTTTGTTTATAATGGTCTTAATACTTTATGTGCGGTTTTTATACTTCATCTGTTACGAAAGGCGAGGGGTTGCTGCATGCATGTATTTTCTAGTATTATTTCGATACTATACACATAGTATGGAAATTGCAATTAGTACGAAAATTCAGTCTCCATAATATTTCCAACGAAGGTCCATAGTATTTCCATGATAAGGATTTTGAAAAAAATTCAGTGATATTGTGATTAATCTGCTCAGCTGACTCCCTTTTTTGGAGATGGAGGTTTATTGAGAAGGGAGGTGTTTTGATATTATATAATAAACCATATATATAGTTCCGAATGGCTTTACTATAACTGCGAAAAATCGCTTCACCATTGACAAAACTAATCAGAAAAGGGAAACAATTTTCTCACACGTAAGAACAACTTTCGTCCAATCAAATCATACAAGGTATGAGAAAATTACCCAAAATTAACGCGCAAATACTGAAATTAACGCGAAAACAAATTAACGCGTGCGAAAATAGCACACGTGTCAGTAATTCCCGTGAATAAAACTCACCATTATCCATCATGACAGAAAAATATGCCAATAAAGAATCTGTAGTCGCATTTCCACAAGCAGTGTAATACGTGAGATCAACGGCTTTCAATAATCCCTCGCTAGTAACACCAACCTATAGGGTGAACGACAGCTAAGCTAACTTAATTTGAACTAGAGATAGCGCCATCTGTTATACACATAGTTTTCCCTAGAGGTACAGCAAAGACAATTTAAAATTTAATCGCTCATGAGCGGTAAGTGCTGTACAGGCTTATTATCTTCTAATCACCGTACTGAACCTTAGGTAACTCATTGTGTTAGTACAAAAGTCGAGGCAAAATTAAATACAAATAATTATTGTAAATCAGTTAATTGATAGGTTTCGAAATCAGAGGTGAGGGTTGTACTATTTGTAGGATGCGATAAGTTAATAATTAGCTTCTAAGCATGTAACAAACGTTGATTGACATTTGTAATAAATCATCATTCAGTCTATTCTATAATGGCGACGAGGATGTAAAAAATAAACAGCGTAAAAAATATAACGGAAACAAGAATGGCGGCACAAAACATACAGCCTATGCCTGCTTTTGAACCTAGGAGTGATCCTACAAGTACAAGTGCGAGATGGACACGATGGCTGGAGAGATTCAACACATATTTACTTGCAGCAGATATTAAAGACGATGCGAGAAAGCGAGCTTTATTATTGTATCAGGCGGAGCCCGAAGTACACGAAATTTTCAAGACTCTAGAAGAAACTAAAGATTTTAAGTCATGATCAGCAGTGAAAGCGTTGACGGAGTATTTTGAACCAGAGAAAAACGTTATATATCGCGCCTATATTTTTAGACAAGCGACGCAAGGCAAAGAGGAATTAATCAATCGACGAATTTCATACGCTTTTACGAGGCTTGGCAAAATACTGCGAATTTACAAACATAGATTTTGAAATTAAGATGCAGATTGTTACGAACGGCACTTCTTCAAGATTACAAATCAAGCACTACAAGACCCAAAATATAGTTTGGCAAACATGTTAATCGATGGACGAAAATACGAAACTAGTTCAGCTCAAGCCGTTGGGATCGAAGAACAATTCAAAACAAGGGAAAATATAAATGCAATGGCTATGACAACGCCCACTGAGAAAAAGTGTTATCACTGCGGTTTCAAGTATCCACACGACAATTAACCGTGCCCAGCGAAGTCTGCTATTTGTAACTATACTGCAGAATAAAGGCCACTTTGCTAAAGTCTGTCGTACACGAGGAAAATCTTTCGCAAGTAAGGGAAACCTTGAGAAATTACAAACGCAAGGTTTTATCTCGCCAAACAAAAGGCGCCAATCACGATGGGATGAGAATAAACAACGAAAACAACAAGCAAATGCTGTCGGAATATCACAAAGCAAACCAAATACTGAAAGCTCGAGAGAAGAGGATTATGTTTACACAGTATCGCCAGAAACGAGGGAGAAGACACACGCGACCGTAAAAATAAATGGACAGGACGTTTTATTTTTGGTTGACACTGGCGCGACTGTTGACATTATTGATTCTACGACATACGCGAAATTAAAGAGGAAAAGTTCATTACGTAAAAGTTCAACTAAAATCTACGCACATGGATTTCACACACCTCTGCTTCTAAACGGACAATTTCAAGCAACACTCGAATCGAAAAAGCGTTATACCGTGTCGCAAATATATGTAATAGACAGTGCAGGAGGAAATTTACTAAGTGCTAAAACAGCCCAAGATTTGGCCTTGGTCAAAACAATACACACAGCACTGCATGCGAGACCAATCCAGAAATCAACACAAGTGTTCCTCAATCAAAAGACCCAAAAATACAAGAAATCATAAACAAATATAGTATAGTTTTCAAGGGGCAAGGAAAATTGAACAACCAACAAATTAAACTTCATATCCGAGACGATGTCAAACCAGTTATGCAGCGGCAAAGACGTATACCATATCATGTGAGAAAGGATGTTTCTAAGGAACTAAAGAAACTAGAAGAGCAAGACATTGTCGAGAAAGTCGCCAATCACCCAACACCATGGATATCTCCAATAGTCGTCACACCAAAGAAAGACGGAGGTATTAGACTATGTGTAGACATGAGGGGAAGCAAACCGAAATCGAAAGAGAGAGACACACAATGCCAACTCTACAAGATTTTAAAGCTGAGGTAAATGGAACAAAATTTTTCTCAAAGAGTGACCTAAAGCAAGCACATCACTAGCCTGCATGGCAGGCGGTCTAAAATACCGCCTGCTGGGTTTGGCAGTGTAATTTGATAACCGCCCACTTTTTTTGTCCGGGTCCAATTAGCCAGTCAGCAAACACTAAATATATTAATAATCAAACTGTCAAACTATGTTATTGTTTGGTCGCAAAATTGCAAATGTATAAAAATATGTCGAAAGAAACGCCATTGAAAGTTTCAGGTAGAAAAGCAAGCGCGGAAAATGTAAATGACTTGTCGTTTGTTTAAGTGTGCTTTGAAACTAAAGTACGGGGCAATACGCTAATAGAGAAAATATCTTATATTCTTATATATCGTCGGAGAAATTATTTATTTAATTAAGGCAAGCAAAAGAAACGTTACGACAGTGGTAAAACCTTGGCCGAAATAAGCCGAATCATTTAGGAATCGAAGTTAAATCTACCTCGGAACTATCCGACCAAGTTTGTAAACCGTGTGAGCGAAAATATCCGAAATGCAAGCGAACTGATTGCCATAATCAAACGAGACATAAACGCGTTGCCTGTGTACGTTCGAACAAATAGACAGTTGTATATTAAAAACCTCAGTTGCCAATATTAACTGTCTCATCTCCCTAACGATCGAAGCTGTGTGGTAACGAAAGCCTTAAAAAGTTCAGAGAGTGAAGCGGATAATAAGCCTAGGCGTAATAGTCCTGTTATTGTTATACATGTAAAACTCGTTGCAAGAAAGACTATATACGGCCGCCTGTATCTATTCTCGTTATAGTTTCTCGCGCCAACAAGAACAATGTAAAAATCAAGCTTTTCCCATAGAATGGCCAAAACATTCTTTCCAAGAAGTAAATCTTTAACTGCTATCTCTTGCTCGCGTTTGACAATCAGTTCGCGTTTCGACTTTCGAGAAGCGTTCAGTTTTACAACACCTATTAATTAAAGCGAACGCATGCACATTAAAGTGTCAATCGTATGTTTACATATTAAAGTGTATTCACTTTTGAGTGACAGCGGCTCAGACTCGCAGCCAATCATCAATTCCCGTCCACTGGTGGACGGGGAATTCGATTACACTGCCAAACCCAGCAGGCGGTATTTCCCAGGCTTGCCCAATTTTAGGAACCGCCTGCCATGCAGGCTAGCATATCACCAGCTCAAACTACACCCGGACAGTCGATTCATTACAACGTTTTCCATCCATGAAGGACTGTTCCAGTATAAAAGATTAAATTACGGTACAAACAGTGCAGCCGAGATATTCCAAAATGTGCTACAACAAAACCTTAGCGATATCAGAGTGAAAAACCTGGTGGATGATATTATTATTCATGGTAAATCCCGAATGTCACACGATGAAGCACTAGAGAACTGTCTAAAACGGCTAGCAGCACTAAACTAGAAAGTAAAAGGGAAAAAATGTGAATTTCTACAAGACGAATTTACGTTCTTTGGATTAAAATTTACAGCAGCAGGAACCAAACCAGATCCTGAGAGAATTGAGAACATGGTTAGAGTACCAGCTCCCAAAACTGCTGGAGAAGTTAGAAGTTTTCTGGGAAAGGCCAACACTTGCCACGAATACATTTCAGATTATGCAACTATTACAGCACCTCTAAGAGAACTAACCAAGAAAAACATTGCGTTTAAGTGGGAAAATAGACATCAGAAAGCATTTGAGCAACCGAAAAAGAAACTAACAAGTACCTCAGTTATGGCATATTTCGATACATAGAAACGAAGTCTAGTAATCGTAGATGGCTCCCCTTATGTAATTAGATCAATACTAGCACAGAAAGAACATCACAGCCAGCAGTCATATGCCAGCAGAGCACCCAGCCCAGTTGAGGCAAGGTACTCTCAAACAGATATTGAAGAACTTAGCTTAGTATGGGGAATTGAGCATTTTCGAATGTTCTTGATTGGATCAGAATTCGATGTGACAACTGGTCATAAAGCATTGGAACCTATATTCAATAACCTAAGATCCAGACCACCAGCCCGCATCGAGAGATGGATGATGCGATTACAACCATTCAACTTCAAAGTCATTTACCGCAAAGGATCCTTAAACGAAGCTGACTACTTAAGTAGACATCCAGCTGTTATAGAGAGAGAACAAATAACTAGTACATCAGCAGAAGAATATGTGAACCATGTAACTAACTGTTCAGTTCCAAAGTCAATGACACTTGACGAGATTAAAAAAGCAACCCATAACGATCCAATATTACAAAAAGTTAAGAAATGTCTGAAAGAGGGGAAATGGGATGAGAACGATCCTGATCTTAAACCGTTTAGACTTTGCGCCGACGAACTTACGTACAATACATCAGCAGGTATACTGTTGAAGAACGCACGGCTGGTCATTCCAACAACATTACACGAAAGAGCAACAAAATTAGGTCATATCGGGTATCAGGGAATTGAGAAAACGAAATGCTTACTACGCGAAAAGATCTGGTACCCAAATATGGACAAACGAGTGAAAGAAATGGTAGACAAATGCATTCCTTGCCAATCAGTAGGTCACGGTAATAACCCGGAGCCAATGAAAATAACACCAACCGAAGACAAACCATGAACTAGTGTAGCAATCGACTTCTATGGTCCAGTAACCAGAACTGGTCAATACCTAGCTAGTGGTTATCGATACCTACTCAAAATTCCCAGAGGTAGAAATAGTCAACTCAACAGAAGCAAGTTAGATACGATATTTGCCAGTTATGGATTTACCATCAAAAATAAAAACTGACAATGGACCACCACTTAATGGGAAAGAATTTGAAACATACACTAAAACCCTTGGTATTGAATGGAAAACAATTACACCACTATGGCCCCACTATGGGTAATGCCATCGTAGAAAGATTTATGAAACCAATTGGAAAACTCTTGAAAACAGCAGAAATTGAAGGAAAGGATTGGAACCAAGAACTGCAAAGGTTTCTACTTCAATACCATTCAACTCCTCATCAAACTACTAAAGTCGCTCCGTGTGAACTACTTTTTAACAGACAAATTCGGGGATATTTACCAGAACACACAAGGAAAAAGTAGTTAATAGACACAAGAGGGCGAAGCAGCATTTGGAGCAGAAGAAAGAAGAGAACAAAGAGTACTACAACAGAAACAAAAGAACAAAGGAAGCTGGTATAAAAACGGGTGACATCGTCATTTGCAAACAGAAGAAGAACAATAAGTTAACATTAAAGTTTGAACGAGAACATTATACGGTAGAACAACGTAAGCACAACACCATCATAGCTAAAAGAGATGGTAAGACGGTGACAAGAAACGTTTAACACTTTAAGAAGGTAGTAATGGAGGAAAGCGAGGAGGAGCAGGAAGATATAGCACCGGGAAGATCGACAGAAACAGAGAAACCACCAAAGCAAGAACCAAGTGCAAGGAGATCAACAAGAATGAAAAGACCGGTAATACAATATAGTACCAGATTTGATGTTATAAACAGTAAAACGATATGATATAGAAACATCAGACAATGTTGATTTACATAAGTAGGAATATAAGGCAAGGACATTTTATTAAGTGGTTGACATTCAGTTAAAAAAATAGAGGGAGAGTAATGTAGTATTTGTAGGATGCGATAAGTAAATAATTAAATTCTAAGCATGTAACAAACGTTGATTCACATTTGTAATAAATCATCATTCAGTCTATTCCATAAGGGTTTCCCAGGGTTTCAAGAGATCAAGGAAACATGGTGAAATCTTTGCGGGTACAAGAGAAAACGTTTCAATGGGAATACAAGAATACAAAGACCACCAAAAATAACTTGATTGGGAAATGTTCTTTCTAACAGGCAGCCACAAATTTTACTTCGGGAAAAATTTGTAACAACATGGATAAAAAATATTTTAACGAATTGAGCCAAGAAAAAAAAATCATGCTAATAAATAGGGCAAAGACGAAGTTATAGCAGGTTTATGCTCTCGTAATTTATTTTACAATTTTTGCTACAGCTTCGTGAAGACAATAATATTTCTAGTCACTCCAGTGCAAGCAGTCAATACGCAGACGTTTGACTGCAGTGTTGGTTTAAGAATCTATACCTTGTACTTCGCCAGATAAGGAAATCTTTTTCCAATCATTTCCATGTTGGTTTTGAAGTTCATTCGAAGTCGCACTGGCCTGAAATACAGAGTGAAAACATGTCAGATAATGATATATGTTCATTGAAGGCTGTCTGTACTCAGTTATGACCTGGGGGCTACTCAAGATGGCGGCATATTTTTCAGCTCCTGAAATGTGTCTATTAAACTGAAATTTTTATCGTACTTGCATGATTTTTGTTTAATAATAATCTCGAATGATGTCTAGAACTTGAAGCTCTACTAAATAAAAGCAAGACGCAGCACAAGCTGACGAATTAAAGGAGAAACATGGAAAAACTGCTTGATAAAAATTTGGATCCTTTGAACGGCAAATTGGAACAGGTTCTAAATTCTATTCAGTTTCTCAGTGCTCAATATTATGATTTAATAGAAAAAGTAAACGTCCTAGAGGGAAAAAACAGAATTTTAAAAGCACAAAATTTGAAATTGAAATCAGTTGTAGATATTCAACAAAATCAACTACAACAACATACAGATTTGATTTAGTGACATGGAACAATATTCCTGGAGAGAGTGTCTTGAGATTCACGGTGTTCCAGTAACCGTTCTTACTAGAACGGGTAATATAGCGGGTCAACTTTTCGGTGTGCGTTGATTTCGTAAATTTGTTACCTCTTAATAGGTGCAAAGTCAATCAAACATATTATCAAATTGATCATAAAGTTTAAGTGTTTCGGTGGATATATTTGTGAGCAGTTTATCGTTGGAATTATTCTCATATATTGGATCACCCGTCTTTGTCCGCCGTCAATTTTGTTGTGTCTCGCTACAAATCGTGAATTTTGGTTTTCTGTCATTATCTCGTCTTCCGTGTACTGGATTTATTTAAATCTCTCTCTGTGTACTACGTTTTCTGTTACTGTCATCGTGTCAAGTTTTTGGTGTCGTTTGGTTCAACTGAATTTAAACCACGCTCATTTTATTATTTTGACCGTTGGAAATTTTGTATATTCACATTACGTCTAGCGTCGTCTGCCATGACAACAACTATGTACAAGTGATCGCCTGTCGTCCACAGTCAAAGTCCTAAACTATATATCATATTGTGACTTTTTTATATCTCCAATTCTTCGTGATACTGCCATTTCCCGGTAATTACCATATTTAACGTTTTTCGAATTTATTCACGAATGTGTATTGATCATTTTACGCTTGCAAGATCGTCTTTGTTGAACTGTTGAACTTTAGCCTTGGTCGCTGATATCTGAGACCATCTTCACATCAGCTGCGGGATTTCCACTGACAATATAATTATCGCCGTTCAGCTATGGCGTTTGTTGCATTGATTTTCACCCCGCGTAATTTACTGATCATACTAAATATATACCTCTACTTATTAAAAGTTTTTCCAGAGACTTGTCCCATTCTACTCCCGCCGACCTCAACTGTAAAACTCTACATGTGTTACATTTGTTGTCAAATCCTCACTCAAACCAATATTCTCGTTTGAATATTTCCTGTCGATCAGCGTTCACCAAACCTCTCTCGTCAGATATGAAATTATTCAGTGGTCGCCATGTTGCCATGAACTTTTCTATATCAATTATCCTAATATCTCTGTCTAATGACATTGCTACTAACCCTGGCCCTAACAATAATCTATACCTTCACTGCCTTTCCTTCAATGCTCAAAGTATTCGAAGTACTAGAAAGTTTCAAGATGGAAGAACGTACGCAAGTAACTTACGATCTTTTCAAGACTTGGTTTACGCAGAGGAACTTGACTTAATTCTGGTGACGGAGACATGACTAAATGCAAATTTTACGGATAACGAGGTACTTCCAAACGGTTATAATATTATCAGGAAAGATCGGTTGGTTAACCAACGCGGTGGTGGAGTTCTTATAGCTTTGCGTGACAACATCTCTTACAACAGACTTACTGCTGGAAAAAATAGTCCAAACTGGTCAGACCGTCTTGAGTTAATTGCAATCGAACTCGAAATGGCTAACTCAAAGAAAGCTCTCGTTTGTGTTTGCTACCGACCACCAAGCTGTGACATTAACGAATGGCTCGAGTTGTTTACGTCATTTCTTGAAACAACATCACATTACGATAAAGTTTTTATCACTGGTGATTTCAATTTTCCAGTCTTAACTTGGAACTCCACCCGTGTTCCCATCTTTTGTTCTTTGACATTTTACATAATTTAAAGTCAACTGGATACGATAAAAGAACTGTTTTCGACTTTCACCCCGCTGACTGGGATTCTCTGCATGAGACACTAAACCACCTCTAACGATATCAATGCTGATTGGCTACAATGGAAAGGCTTATTTCTCGGTGCGGCTGCTAAACACATTCCACAAAAGTCATTTAAAAGACGTAGCACTCCCCCATGGTTTGACGGTGAAGTAAAACATCTACTCAATCGAAAAAACTGGTTCCGACGTAATGCTAAGCGTAGGTTGTGCTCCAACCTTTGGCAAAAGTATCGAGAGTTACGACGAGTAACAAAATACGTCATCACCAACAAAAGGAAACAGTTTTTTGAATCCATGCCCGCCTTATTGAAGTCAAGTAGCCAGAAGTTTTGGTCAGTGTTTAAGTCCGTTCGTAAGACCTAGAGCGTTCCCAACAAAATGACTTGGTCTGATCATGATGGAGTAACCTCTACAGCCAACAACCCAGCCGACATCGCCAATCTACTAAATTGCTATTTCTACTCCGTTTTCCAACCTTCTCATAGCAATAATGATGAACATACTTTTTTCAACTCGACTGACGACTCCATCACTAAATCGGATGCAATCTCCAACATCACGCTAACATCCGAGGAGGTCTACTACGTTCTTGCAGCTCTTGATGAAAACAAAGCGACTGGACCGGACAAAATTCCCGCTAAATTGTTGAAGATCTGTGCATCGAGCGTTTGTTCGTCTTTATGTGACTTATTCAACAAAAGCTTGTCCATAGGTAAACTACCGTGCGAGGGGAAACTTTCAAACATAATTCCAATTCCCAAGAAAGGCCATGCTGACGAAGTATCAAATTACAGACCAATATCTCTCTTGTCTTTGGTCTCTAAAGTTTTTGAACGTTGCGTCTATAACCAACTTATATATCATTTCTCCAGTCAACTTCACCATATACAATTTGGTTTTCTCAAAGGCAAGTCTACCACCTCTCAGCTTCTGCGCGTTCTTCATGATATAAACAAGTCGTTAGAAAACCGAAGCCAAGTCGACTCGGTTTACCTGGACTTCGCAAAAGCATTTGATAAGGTCTGCCATAACCTTCTGTTAGTTAAACTCCAGAGGTTTGGAATAAGAGGTGATCTTCTGCTATGGTTCAAAGACTACCTCTCAGGACGATACCAAAGAGTAACAGTTCTCGGTGAGTCGTCCAATACTCTCCCTGTTCTATCTGGAGTTCCCCAAGGTTCAATTTTAGGACCCCTACTATTTCTGGTATTTGTGAACGATCTTCCTGATTCAATTTCAACCCAATAGTCTGTGGCTATGTTCGCTGACGACACGAAGTGCTACCGTCCCGTGAACAAGTTAGCTGACTGCGAAAGTCTGCAAAATGATCTAGATAAACTAGTGACATGGTGCAACGTTTGGAGGATGGACTTGAATCAATCCAAGTGCGGGGTTCTTAGCATTACTAGAAGTCGTCAACCAATTATCGCAGAATATCAGCTTATTGATACTTCGCTTAAGTCATTAATTGCCCAGAAAGATCTCGGGATCACTATTTCGAAAGACCTGAAATGGAACAAGCAAGTTTATAGCACGGTGTTAAAGGCAAACATGATGCTTGGCTTCATCCGACGATCAGCCTCTGACATCAACAACATCCAAGTCCGCAAGATTCTCTACCTGTCTTTGGTTAGAAGCAAATTGGCGTTTGCCAGTCAAGTGTGGGCACCCCAAGCAGTAACTAACATCGCTACAATGGAACGCGTCCAACGTCGTGCCACCAAATTCATCCTTTCCCTTCATTATAGATCAGACGTTTTGTACAAAGACCGTCTCCAGTCTATCGGTATTCTTCCCATCTGCTATTGGCTCGAGTTTCTAGATTTAGTTTATCTCTACAACTGTGTTGTTAATGACTCTGATACAAACATCTCAATACGAGTTTCGAATCGTAGAACCAGAAACTCTAATTCCGACAATGGTATTCTACTAAATGTACTTAAATCCAAGACTGTTAGCTTTCAAAACAGTTTTTACGTAAGAGCACCCAGCGTTTGGAACATTCTACCCGATATCCTCAGAGACACTACAAGATCTACAGCTTCCTTTAAAAGTTTACTATTTAGATACTACTTTAACCTTCTCGAACACGTCTACAAACCAGACAATCCTGGAACCTTTAAATCGGTGTGCGTCAAATGCCACTCTACTCGTTCTATTCAAAATTTATCTTTCAGATCATGTTGTTGACAGTTTGGCGAAAGCCAATTAATGTTTTTGTGCATGTATAGTAATTTTTCTTTTTTGTCGGGACCCCGTTATTGGAGTTTATCTCTGTGGACAGTCCCAGCCAATGCACTCGTAGGTATTTGAATAAGTTTAATATTTGTTTGGTGCGGCGAATCTTGTAAAATAAAATAAAATAAAATAAAAATAAATGACGAAGACACTAATGAAATAATAATGAAAGTTGGTAATCTGGCCAATGTTTCTATTAAACCAGAAGACATATCAGTGAGTCACTGGCTGGGCATTCCAAGCAATGTTCCTACAGGTCGGCCTGTACGTCCACCTATTATCATTGTTAAATTTGTGAGGCGAAATGTCAAAGAGGAGTTATTATCTTCCCGAAAGAATCTAAGGAATAAACTAACTACCGACTTGGGCATTTCCAGATTTGCAGGTAACAAGATTTATATAAATGAAAGCCTGACCAAAAGAAATAAACTCCTGTTCAAGCATTGTCTCACTGACAAGAAAGAATCGAATTACAATTATATCAGGACCACTTCGGGGAAGATTTACATGAGAAAGGAAAGCAACAGTCCAGCAATTAACATTAAATGTCAGAGAGATATTGACAATCTGTGAATTTAGAGATGAGTACTTTTAATATCTTGGGGTTTTTTCTTTATATATAATTTATTTAATTCAGAAATGGTGTGATTTATGATCGCTAGTACTTGTTCTAGGTCTATTACTTGTAACTGTACATGCTGTACATTAAAATTAAGGATTGATGGCTTAAATATTGACACCCTTAATTCATTGAGTTCCACAAATTCTGTACCAATGTTTGAAAATTTAGACTCTGAATCAAATTTGCACTACCACTCTAATTTCAAATATTATTCAACGATGATTTCTTAAATTGTATGAGTGTGAGTGAAACCTCTTTTTCTATTCTCCACTGCAACATAAGCAGCCTCAATGCAAATTATGATAAGTTGACATGTATGTTAGATGACTTGAATCGTGAGTTCAGTATTATTGGCCTTTCGGAAATCAAATTTACCCAAAATAAAAAAGTTGTAAGTTATGTTGAAATTCCTAATTATAATTGAAATTATAATTGAAATTCCTAATTATAGTTTTATCTATCAACAGAGTTTCTCCAATTCTGGAGGAGTTGGAATTTATATAAAAGAAAATATAAAGTTTGTGAGAAGGAATGACTTAGAATTTGTTTCTAACTTTTGTGAAACCTTGTGAATTGAGATTCTCGATTCAAAACATAGAAACACATTATGTGCTGTTATATACAGACACCCCAGTTCAGATATTAATTTGTTTATTGACCATATGAATGAAACATTAAGTAAGTTAGAAAGATAAAATAAATATTGTTTGTTGATAGGTGATTTCAATATAAATCTTTTAAAATATGATTGTCACCCTCCAACACAATTGTTTTTAAATAGTTTATCATCTAGCTTTTTCCACCCTTTTATATCAGGACCTACTCGTATAACTCATCACTCAACGACACTGCTTGATAATATCTTCTTTAATTCATTTGAGCATCATACAGTTAGTGGAAATTTAGTATATGATTTAACTGACCATCTCCCTAATTTTTTGATAATAAATAAATATTGTTCATTGCCTCCCAAAACAAAAACATATAAGAGAGACTATATAGTCATTTTAACGAAGAGACATTGATAAATGATTTCCGATCTATTCATTAGAATACTGTCTTAGGTGACACTAACATCAATGAACAATTTGACTCTTTTTATTCAAAAACTAATGAAATTGTAGACAAGCATCTGCCTTTAAAGCAAATAAATAATACCCCAACTTCTGAAGTTCATAAATATAGTATTAGGCTTGCTTATCAAAAGTCTTTTTATATGCATAATATCAGATCTAATTATGGTAAATTTAAAATTAGGTTTTCTGGTGCTAAAATTTGGAACTGTCTTCCTTATCCAGCTTCAAACATTCAATCATACGTGACTTTCTTTCCAACTATTAATTCTATATTTATAGTTTTGTATTCCATATAACTTAATTCTGTGTATATGTTATCTATACATTATGTATTAATTATGCTTGTGCATATATTTTATATTTTACATATATATTTAAAAATTTATTTTTCTTAAATCTCTATATAATGCCATCAATCACCAAGATAATTGAATATTAACAAGACGCTCCACGGAGCGTTAAGTCGCTGGTGCGATGGAAATATGCAACTTTAAGTGCAAGTAATAGCACTAATTAAAGAAGAGCGTTTTTGTTTTACCGAAAATATTGATTCTTGAAGTTTCAAGTTTGCAGTTTGCGTGGTAGTTTACTAGTTAGCGCTAATAGTTAAAACAAGTTTAACCATACAACAATGTTGTTTTAATAGTCATATAGTACACTGTATACAGTATAGTGTATCGTATGTGTTAAAATTATAAGCGTTTATCCTGTTGTCATTACACAGATCGGCTGGTGCTATGTTACCAACTGGCCAAGTTAAAACCGAACTTTAATAGCTAGCTAGTTAGCGCATCGAAGGCTTGGAAGGCAAGAATATTCTTCTCCTTGAAACTAGACGCATTATAACGTCTGTCTATTGTCTAATACAATAATGCCTCGCGAGAGGACACTAAGAATTATTTCGCATGATTACCAAGCGACTAGCTAATGGCCTGTGTCTGGATGTAGACTCGAAAGAATAGATCCAATATACTAAAATATTATTACTGACTGGAAGGAAAGCTTGGAATTTGCCGGCTGGAGATTTCGAAAATTCAATAGTAAAGATATAGAGGGCATCACCGATATCTCCCCGATTCCGCCGCGCGATACAAACTTTAAATATATAAAATTATGTACAAATTATTCACTTCCCTCCTTGATAACATAACAGTGAAACGTCGTGATAACTTTTAGTGAATTCTTAATATTACCGAAATCAGTAGAGTGTCTTTTCCGGAAGTTGAAAAGACAGTCGAAAGCCAGTAGAAACGTTCATGTTTTTTGACGTCAGGGTGAAGGAATGCAGCGTGGAACTTGTAAGTTATTTTACTTATTAGTAAACTTTATTTAGTTTGACAAATTGCCAATGGCTCGCCAAACACAAAACAAGCTTTTGAGCAAAGGGAGAAGTTCTAGGGTGAGGCGGTAAAACCGATGTTTTTTGAAAACCGAATTACTCGATGTTACTTTTGGAGAAAGACCGGAAAACCGAAAAAACCGGAGGAAAACCGAAATCGAACCATACTTATACGGGTCTGTTGCAAATGAATCAACTTTGGCATTTACACACGAAAACTAAAGAGATTTTGTTTAAAATTTGATAACATCTTCAAAATACCTTACGTTTAATATCATTCTACAATTTCGCGCGAGCTTGAGGTCTTGAATGGATAAGCGGATCAAACGATGGTGAATTTTGATTCGCTGGTAATAAAGACGGACGTCTGCGAAGACAGGTTTAAGATATTCATATAGCGTGTTGTGTCTTTTTTAAACCGTAGTTTCGATTTTCGAACATATTTTTTTAAAAAAAACCCGGTTCACTCGGTTTTTTCGGGTTTTTTTGGTCGGTTTTCGGTTTTTTGTAGAAACCGCCTCACACTAGGGAGAATCTTTATTCGTGGGAAGGCACTTAAGTAAAGTTACTAATAAGTAAAATAACTTACAAGTTCCACGCTGCATTCCTTCACCGTGACGTCATAAAACATGAACGTTTCTACTGGCTTTCGACTGTCTTTTCAACTTCCGGAAAAGACACTCTACTGATTTCGGTAATATATTTCATTCAAAAACCCCAAAAGAAAAGACACGACTCACGGACTGGACCAAATATTCAATAGCGAACTTTTGCACGCTATTACATGGTCCCCATTTTGATTTTGATTTCGTAAGAATTACGTACTTAAAATGACGTAATTTGTCATTTTGTGGCGTACCAAAGAGCAAACCTAGAGTCGGTGGGGACCACAGGTGGCCCCACCGACTAATAATTTAATTCTAATGGGTTATCTGACTCGATTAACCATATATGATTATCTTAGAAACCCAGCACAAATTATTTTGTCCTACTTACTGATTAATTTTTGATTATTAGTTCTAAAATTTTGTAAATTTTTTCATAAAAGCATGCTGAATAAAGTCTTCTTCTTCTGTACTCAGTAGTGTCCTCATCCAAGATATAACTTCATTACAGACTTGAATACTTCACTTCTCTTCCACAGGCAGTTACACTAAACTCATCTGTATAGATTCTCATTACATTGACATTGTTATATATCAACTGGGACAAAAGCAATTCATTCATGCTTGTAATTGTATACAGAGTGACCATTGTTTCAAAAAATGGGGACGAAGTTGTACAAAAGTATCAAGTGTTTTACAGAATGTTGAATTTTTAAATGCAAAAACTTCACAACTTTCATCAAATTTCCTGTTAGGAAATACGGAGAACGCTCCTCTGAGGGTTCGAAAACGCAGAAATTTTCAGGGGCAGCATGCCTACCCGGAGCAATGGCGCAGCTAGCAATCGAAACTGGTCATACTGTGTTAAAACACCGGCATGTGATAGGTTAAATACAACACATTTATAAAGATTTGAATTAGGGTGCGTGTTGTTGTATACAATCGAATCCCTATTAAGCAGACACCTTCGGGACCTCACCAATTTGTCTTAAGTGGTAACCGCTTTATAGAGGTTTGTAACAGCGAACACAGCAGGAGGTAACGCTTGGCTAATTTTGGAAGAGTAGTGAGTGAAGGTAAAAGTGTCAACAGGGCTTGTGATGCTGTGGAACTTCGAGTTCAAGTTTCGAACAGACAGTTTTTCTTGCAATTGGTTGGATTGACTAATCAAAGAAAGACATTTCTGGTTGGTGAAGTTTAAGTCCTACTAGGGAAAAGAAGCATCAACAACACATGAACATTTAAACTCGAGAAGAAGAAATAGTCAAACAACAGATGAAAAAGGAAATCTCTTGAAAGTTACCTGTTCATAACGTAGGCAGCCACAGCACATGCTGTTGAGTTGACTGAATCACGAGTTACTTTACCGCCATAAGCTCCACCACATCGCTTACATGTCACATGTACACTGGAAAAAAATTGAAAGAAAACATGAAATATATTTTACTTCCTTACAAAATAATTTACCTATCACGTTCAAATATGGCTTCAACAATTCAACATTAAATTATATTACCAGTTACAGTATCTCCCAATATTCCCTTCTTGTAATTCACTCAATAAACGCTACTCGTTTTCTATTTCTTGAATATGGACCAATCGTTTAACTGAACCTCTGTACAAGTCCAGATAGATAGATGGATGGATAGATACATTGCAACCCGCGAGTTGAATTACACTAATAACTTTACAATAAATATTTACTTATAAATTACCTAAAATACATTGTAGAATTATCATGTTGTACAAAACTATTTTTAAATCTATTCGTCCTCCTAAAACAAAGGTTAAAAATGTTCTCTTTCCTTATCCTCGAGCCGAAGGCGCGAATCGCCGTGCGAGGAAACTAATTCCCCCCGGCTATTTACACCCGGGGAAACGAAAGGATTGGCGAAGTCAAAGTTCATCAATGATCGCGGGCGTGGCTCACCAACGATGTTCAGGTGGGTGGTCATCCTCACAGATCTCAAAAATATGGCGGACTGTCATGAATAACGGACACTGATTGGTCCAATTTAAAGTTTGCATTATAGTAACTGCATGACGACAGCGAAATAGCAAACATTTCTTGATTTGATGATTGATAAATTTCTGGCTAATATATTTCATTTTTGCTCGCATTTTTGCAAGATTTTGTAAATTTCAAAAGTTTTCTCAGAAAGAAAGGGACAAAGAATCGGCTAAAAGAAAGGAGCCGACGTTAACAAAGGTAAGTTTGTTTCAAATATTGATTTTACAATTGCTTTAATAACCCGACGGCCTTTGCGTATATGAAACAACTAAACAAGACAGCATACGATAATTTCAGTGTATCTTTAATATTGATTCCCTTTTTTATTATATTGTATTTTTTAAATAAAGAAGAAAGCAAAGTTATTTGCATGCGAGAATTTGAAATCATTTTATTACAAACTCAAAGTTTATCGATAAAGCCATTTAATTTATAAAGGCAGTTTTGTTTTATAAAGAACACGCAGTTTTGTAATATATATGTTGGGAAATTGATAATTTTGTAATTAAAAGTGATATTTTTAGGCGATTTTTCATTCGTAAGAATATTCTAAAAAAATTATCGTGTTACCATGACAACTACTTTAGATACTTCATGTTCGGAAAATACAATGGTTTTGTCGGCAAGGCGATGGTTTCTGCATGCATGTATTTTCTAGTATTATAATTTGAAAAGATCTTACTTGGTAGTAATTGATAAAGCTTATGACTGTCGTCATTTGCAATGTCATTAAATGGTTTAGTAGTTAACATTTGTCTTCTATTAAATGAGTCGACTCTTCTTCCAATGACCACCACTAAAAGCAACCCTTCTAAACACTATAAGCACTTCAGAAAGACTATCGCTTTTTGTTTTCTGAAGTTAGAGCTATGTCGACACTGCCGTTTCAGGGCGGGGTCATTTTCAGGACTTTCGTCCCGGATTCAGCTTTTGGCACATATGCCATGTTGACCGCCATGGTCATTTTACCCTATAACAGTTGAGATTACCTGTGCTAAATGAAATGCATACAAACTCATATACAAGTCCTAGACTATTTGACTTGGGTTGGTAGCAAGACTTTTCTTACAAGTCCACGACAAGTCACAATTAAATCGTTAATCTTATTATTATATACATGACAAAATTACTGCAATTTGATTGGTTAAGAGGAGTGCAATTATTTCATTAATTGCACTCTCCAGGAGTGCAATTAATGATTTTCGCGATGTCTGGGGGGAGCGGGAAATAAAAAAAACAAAATCCAATATGGCGGCGAAATTTAGATAAGTATTTCTAACAAATGTGGACGAATTTAACTGAATTTTGGCACAAGAATGAGTTTAAAAAACATTGTATGGCAAAAAGAGCCTGTGGAAAATACCTGGAAACAGTTTTAAGGAATAATCTTGGCGGGATGCAGCGAAACCTGACTATGTAAGTTTGAAATACAATTTATAAAGATTTTCTTAGTCTAAAATATGTTGTTTGAGTTTGAATCTTGTGTTCTAGTTTAAGTTATGTGCCTTTATTAGTTTGTAATCATTTCCCAAGTTTGTTTATACCAAATTGCTTACGAAAGAATTAAAAACTCTTGACAAAATGCAGTTGAAATATAAAGAAAGCGATTTTGTCATGCATATAATAAATAAATAATCACACGGGCAAGTCGTGCAATTAATGATTAACACTACTCGTGATATTTGAAAAATGTGCCAAATTGCACTCGCCTCGGCGGCTCGTGCAATTTTGGCACATTTTTCAAATATCACTCGTAGTGTTATTTTATTTATTTTATTTTATTTTATTTTACAATCTTTGTCACATGACCGGTTTAACCCACAGAGCTAGTTGCTCCTTTACGGGTAACCTGCATGTTAATCATTAATTGCTCCTTCCCGTGTGATTACCTATATAATTGTTCATCCTAATTAGCATGATTATATAATGGTTCATCCTAATTAGTATTCTTTTGTAGTCGTATTTTAAGCTATTCAAAACACTCGTTGTCGTACGATAAAACACTCCTACTCGTGTAGGAGTGTTTTATGTCTGTTTTATGTCGTACAAACGTAGTGGAGTTAAACCAACCGATAATTAATATTTAAAATGTTATTTTACGTTTTTTTCTCATTAAACGAATTCATTTCACTTCACTGCCTGGTACTGTCTATTTCGAGCATTGACATGCCCAATATCAATTTTCGAGCTGTAGTAAACAAAGGGGAAATCCCGCTTACGGGGGGTTGGTCCATACATTAGCATAACCTAACTTATGCGAGGCCTCCAGAGAAAACTAAAAGCGCTAAAGACAAGCTGATTTTTTTAAATAATGTGTAATTTATCAGGGAAGAATGAAAAATAATATTTAAAGGATATGTTAATTTTTGGCTGAGATAGAGCGTTTTTAGTATGCTGACTTGTCGACTGACCTGCGGTAAGTGTCAATATGTGGCGGTTCGACGACTCGTCTTGTGCAAGCTGTTCAGTCAAAGTTTAAATCGGTATAAGCTTAAAAATAATCTCATACGATGCGAATATTATGGGGTAAAGAATGAAAAAAAATATTATGACGACAAAGAAACTTGTGGCGGAGAATGAGCGTTTTGAATCGCTAAGCGGCACGCGTGTTTGCAGTCTCCATCAATATGTCGCTGTGCGATGACATAACTTATGCGAGGCCTCCAGAGAAAACTAAAAGCGCTAAAGACAAGCTGATTTTTTAAAATAATGTGTAATTTATCAGGGAAGAATGAAAAATAATATTTAAAGGATATGTTAATTTTTGGTTGAGATAAAGCGTTTTTAGTATGCTGACTTGTCGACTGACCTGCGGTAAGTGCCAATATGTGGCGGTTCGACGACTCGTCTTGTGCAAGCTGTTCAGTCAAAGTTTAAATCGGTATAAGCTTAAAAATAATCTCATATGATGCGAATATTATGGGTGAAGAATGAAAAAAAATATTATGACGATAAAGTAACTTGTGGCGGAGAACGAGCGTTTTAAATCGCTAAGCGGCACGCGTGTTTGCAGTCTCCATCAATATGTCGCTGTTCGGTGACATAACTTATGAGAGGCGTCCAGAGAAAACTAACAGCGCTACAGACAAGCCGAATGCTTTAGGTGATGTGGAAATTATCAGTGAAGAATGAAAAAAATTATTATAGCGCTACATTTATTCCTTACGACGATACAGCGATTTAGATAGGAACTAACCGTGTCTTGCTCAAGATTTAATTGA